ACTTTTATCCTTTTCATTGGCGTTTTGTTTTACAAGTGACAACACATTATTTTTTTCGTCGATCAAATTAACGATGTAAGAAGAATTGAGATTAAATATTTCATCTTCGTAAACATAAAGACTCTAATATTATATTTAAAATATAATGATCCGGATATTAATCATAGTTAACTATAATGGATAATTTGTAATTAACTGAAAAAGGTTGGATAGTTTCCGAATGAAAGGTATTGATTGGAAAAAACCAAAATACCATATTTTGTTTGAGAAATACCTGAAATATAAATATTTTCTAAAGAAATTACCTTTGTATCATTTCCTAACAACTTAAATAAATGTATTGTATGAGATCCAAAACAAACAGAAAGCCGTACTAGCAGAAAAAGTGTTAGGGTCTGATAACATGTACTCGAAATTAAAAGGATCTTTTTGCTAATTTTCGAAATGGTTTATTGGTGAGTTAGGCGCGATAATTCAGTGGAAGAATATTGTTTTGCCGAAATATAAATCTAATTATAATATGAAGAATGTTGGAGGTTCTAAATTAAAATTTATCAATAAACCTCATTAATTGACGCCAAACTCATCGCCTACGTCGTCGCCCTCCGAATCTCGAGCGTGCGGCCTCGAGCTCATTCGTCGCCCATCTCCGTCTCCTCTACCGCCTTCCTTTTTCGAACCCTCACGGCCTCTTTTTCCTCGGCTTCCTACGGCTCTCCAATCCACCGTTAAAGATGGCAGCGCTCTCAAAGAACCGACGATCCTCCTAGCTTCCCCCCGAGAGCCGGAGACGGGTCGGCGAGGTTAACGTCGGAGGATTTCTCCGACTCCCTCCGCCGCGGTGCGTTTTCGGTTTCGGGGGAGCACCTCAAGGAGACAGGGTTCGATCTTAAGAGCGGCAATTTCCAAGTCCGCCGAGCGAGCGAGCCCGGATTGCTGCCAAGAAGGCCCGGGAGGCGGTGGACCGTTACAGATCTAAGTTGGCGCCGGGGTTCTTGATGTGGAACAAGTGAGCGCATTAGATGGTGATCGACTTCTTTCTTGACCTGAATTATTATTTATTTTTCATCTTCAATTATTATTCATTGGATGGTAATCTTAATTTCCCCCTCTGAACTCGTACAAACTATAGTTTTTGCATGAGTTTGTATATTTTTCTCCCTTATACCATGTAATTTGTTCAACTTGGTTAGTACTAGTTTTTGTTACAAAAGGTTTTGTTATGATTGGCTAGTTTTCGAACTCACTTAGATAAGCGGCTAATTGCTAAGATGCTGAGATTCGGAAGGATTACATTCCCTCCTGGCCCCTTGTGGGCGAAGTTTGTCGGTTAAGGTTGTCGAGAGGTATCTAATGGATACTGAGACCTTATACATGGTCAGAATTTCCTAAGATCTTATGGCAGAGTCCTACTGTGGCACACAATTTGTCCATGAAAAATATATGCGAGACACTGTTTTTTTTTTTTGGCAAGGAGGAAGACACTTTGTTGGTCTCAATCACATTATATATGACAATATGACAAACTCCTCGGGCAGCTTTAGTAATTAGTGCTGCTTCTCTTAGATAGGCAACTTTTAATGCCTCTCTTATTGGAGTGTAGTTGTCTTTATTGCAATGTAGTTATTTAAACCCTTTTTTTGGTGCACTTATCTAGTCTCAGTCCCTGCAGCATCAGGTGCTCTAAATGCATGTTCTCATAAATATGGATACCATAACAATAGGCTAATTAGATATTATCCCTTGTAATTAGACCTCCTTAACATTCCAATCCCTAGGCTTCAAAAATTTATATTGAAATTTCTATAGTTATGAAAATAAAACATCTAACTCCATTTACCCTAACGTCGTCGATTTTACCGACGGAAGCACAAAAATAATGGGCAAAAAGATAATTTTAACATCTTAGTTGGTGGTGACGGACGACGTTGATGGTGGCGGACAGCGACACTGTTGGGGGCCATGTGTGGCTGTTGTAGATGAGAAGAGCGGCAGCAAGAGGTGAAGGTCGTTTTGCATATGCGACGACGTCGACGCAGATGCAAAGCAGCGAAAGAGTCGTTCGACAATTGCGTCGGTGTCGACACAAATGCAGAGTGGCCCTTACTTCTCGTTGTCGCTTTCCTCATCCACACCCGTGGCCCCCAACGGCGTCGTCATCCGTCACCACCAACTGAAATATTAAAATTATTTTTTTGTCCATTATTTTCGTATTTCGGTTGGTAAAACCGATGACGTTAGGATAAATGGAGCTAAATATTTCACTTTCATAACTATATGGATTCTAATGTAAATTTTTTAGGTCTAAGGATCGGGATGCTAAGGAGGTTTAACTACAAAGGATAATATATAATTGGCCCTACAATAGTCGTGCTTGATCACATTCTTTTTGGTGTATGTCATATTAGCTCCCATTATCCGGTACATATTAGTAGCTTCGATTTCTAGTAGAGTATTTGATGCATTCTATCATAAGTAACTTGATATAACAGATGTTGAGATGAATTTGCGGCAAATGGTAGATGCATAATTAAGGAAATGAAAGTATGGTGAACAAGAGAAAAAAGAGATCGAAGAACTATGACTAAATGAAATTTCACTTGTAACTTAGTTTCAGTTTGCCTTGCAGTAATTAAATACTTGATAGCTAAGGCTCCATTTGTTACTAGAATTAGTTTTAGGAGAATAATCTAATATCATGATTATACAAAATCAATAACTGCTACTCTCTTTTGGGTATTACTATTTGTGATGTATTTAAATATTCATTGAAAAGTTTGTTAAAAAAAAATCAGGACATAGTGATTTTATTATTGATCAATACAAACTTTATTTGTTTAAGTTGATTCTACATTCAATTGGTTCAGTCTGTTTGATCAAACCTGACTATTGACAAATTGATAAATTGATTTCGTATCAGGTCAGACTCTGGGTTCTCAGACCCTTCTGCAAAGACAGAAACTAAAACTTTTGCAAAGACGATATATAAATTTGAGCTCTACTAGCCAACTTAACCGATCAAGTTCAAGTTGATCTGAAACTCTATTTGCAAAAGTATAATATATCTTTTGAGGTTGACTACTGACCTGATTTGACCCAGGTCAACATGTAGGAAAACCCAATTGTGATATGAGACAGGTTTGGGATAAAACCTACACCCACTCCATAAAATTTACAATTCCTTTGGTTTACAGATGAACTTCTCTGTCTTTTGGACACTAATGTCTAACCCAATCCTGGACAAGACTAAAATATATCTTTTGCTTGAGCTAAACCATGCCAGGAATCCTGATGTTTGATAAATTTGACAAGGTGGATAGCAGCGCATGCTACATCAAAGCTGTGGATATTGGCACAATATGAAAATAGTAGACATTAAATCTTTAGGGATTTCTATTGTCTGTTATTTGACATTTCATGAACAATCATTTCCTTGGATCTTTGTTTTGCTCTTCACGATGGACCATTACCTGTCAGCAAGTATTTTTGTTATCAATCACTCAACGTTTATCCGGCAGTGGATTATCAGTTCACGGTTATGAGTCCTGGCAGTACATTGGATTGTCAGTTCCTCCATTTTGTTGGTCTTAAATGATTTTCTTGAAGGCAGACACATTGAAGTGTTTAATATTCTTTCTGACAGATGATTGTTTGCTAAGAGTTGACAACTTTTTATTAATGTCATCAATCATAGTTTCTTTCCTGTTGATTAATAACAAGATCTCTGAGGACCAGTGGTAGGCTGCAGTTAGAATCCAGTGTGACCATTTTTGGATTGTCAGATAGGAATACAAGCTTCTGTAGATGATTTATTTCTGCACCTGCATAGTCCGAAATAATATTGTTCAGTGATCAATTAATAATGAGACTTTTTTTTTTTTACTTAAAGTGAGCATTCAGTTTTGAAAAGAAATCTTGAAAGCCCTTTGGTGCCTAACAACTCATTTTATACCAGGTTGATGTCCTTCGTGTAATGTTATGTAATGTCAATTCTTCAATGAAGTCTCCTTAATTTGAGTTTCCTAAATTCAGAACACAGTAATTATGGTCTTAGCTAATAGTTTCACATCTTAATCCACTAAATTCTTTTATTCTCGAGCTTTATTACACATTTCTACAACAGTTTTCATCTGAAAAACACTGCACAATTGATGTAATCTCCTGAAATCATCAAAAAAGGGTTGCTAAGGGTGACACTGAAGTTGCTCCTCAAGTTCAATTTGAGGAGCAGTTTTACAGGTACATGATGAAATCTATATTTTTGTAAGATTAGATTCAATGTTAGATGATCAAATAGTTCTATTTTTAACGAGTTATGATTCAATGTTTATTTTAATTATTTTTGTTCATCCACAATTTTAGGTTGGTTGCTGCTCCAGTGCATAAAAATTTGCTGGTTCTTTCCTTCAAAGTCAATGTGGACCCAACAGATGAATCCGTTCACTAAGTGCTTCGACAGCAGGAAATAGAGGAAACGATGCTGTGCATCCATTTCATTGACATGGATATCCTCGCTCCTACTCGAAGGTTTGCTTCATAACATTAGTATATGTAGAGCTCGCCTACCTTTTGCCTAGCCTAAAACATATATTTGATACATGTTCAGGTGATCAGATTGGGCTCTGGATGAACAATATGCAATTTAAGGGCCCTGCTGCTCTACCACTGCATCAGAAGATACGCCTTAGTGAAGCAAAAGGCCGAGGCATCAATGTAAGTAGCACGACACTTCAATTGTTGAGAACAATGATATGATCGTTCTCTACCACAGTCTTTGTCCTTCAATGATTATATCAAGTTGTAAGCTTTCCTTGAACGTTTCACAGTCCATCAGTTACTAGCTTGGAAACTAACCTACAGGGAAATGTTTCAGTAGTTATACATACTCTTGCTCACCATTTATTTTTCATGCATGCAATCTCCCAATTTATATATTGATTTTCCTGAAAAACTTCAGTAGTACAACTCAAAAGCAATGGCCATAATGGAGGCGCACACAGTCAATCAGCAACCACTTTGCATTTCTGGCTAAGTCGGAACTCTGCAAGACAACAATGCCAAAGGGTGTTCAGACAACGGAGTAAGTCATGAGGTTTATCTTAACCTTCCTTATGAAATCGATAGCAGTCTAAATTATTTTTTCTTTTGCACTAAGATCAGCGAGTTGGAACGAGCATATGGATCTCATCCACCAACGGTGATATCTCCGTCGATGATGGCATGCCGCATCAGAACAATTTCTTTCACAAGATTTCGGTACGTGAAGGGCCGGACCGAGGCTCTCAGAAACAATTCCGGCGGTATCTTGCTCCTGACCCTCCTTTTTGATGCCGTATATCCTGCATTTTTCAAGTCTTCTTCAATCCAGTCTTCTTTGTTCTCCTCCAGGTTCACGTCAACGGTGTCCTCATCACCCTCGGTTATCTCCTTCCTCTGCTGCCCTTCTTCCAGCATCTGGTTCTTGTAGTGCGTGTTTGATAACTCGATGCTTCTCTTCACTAACTTCGCCATCTCATCGGTGCTCCGAACAGCCTTCTTCCACTGATCATCCCAGTACTCCTGTGTCTCCTCCGGATTCGTCCTTGCTTCCTCGGTACCATCCTCTTCTTCTTCTTCCACATCAATCACTTCATCCTCCTGCTCGGTGTCGCTTTCCTCATCGTCCTCGATCCAATCAGTGACTTGCGACCCGTCGTTTCTGTCACTCTCGTCCTCGCTGTCGTCAGGTGCATCGCAGCCCAGCTCCAACTCCTCGAGCTTGGCCTTCCATTCTTTGGTGTAGGGGTGGAGGAGCTCCATGGGATGGTTAGTCAGCAGGAACTCCAGGCACCGAGATTTTTCCTCGTCGCTTAACTTCTGGTAGGCCTTCACGACGTCGTCCACATAAGCCTTGGGGCTGCTCTTAACGATCTTGCAGAGCCCGCCGAAGTAGGTGCAGGCCTCGACCCTGCCGTCTTCCACCCGTAGCTCGCAGGGGTATTCGTTCTCGGTGCTCGGGTCAAGCAGCGGTCCGAGCAGCTTGAAGAAGTCGTCCTGCGGCTCGAACCGGCACTGGTACACGGGGCGCTTCACGTAGATGATGTCCGGCCGCATCCAGGCGGCGCATTGGGTGATCGTGGACCGCACCCGGTTGCCGAGCCGGCCCATGAGGTTCCACTTATCCAGCCGCTGGGTGCCGGCCTCCAGGGCCACCTCTGCAGCAAGCGTCCACTGCTGCCAGGGGAGCTCGGTAGGGCGCCACTTGGGGTGGCGAACGAAGACCCAGTAGTAGCGCAGGCCAGCAGCGGGATCGAGGCGGCGGCAGTATTCGGTGGACATGTCGAACTGCTCGATCTCCTCCCACTCCTCGTGGTCACGGACCTCGCTGATGAGGGTGACGCGGTCGTCGGAGAAGCGGCCGCGGATAGGCGGGCCGACGACGATGCCGCGCCAGGAGTAGGGCCCGTACTCGCCGTACTTGTACCAGTCGTAGGGGTGGCGCAGGTTGGGGTCGTCCTTGGACATGAAGCGGACAGCACGGTCGTAGCCAAGGCCGATGGCCTGGAGCTCGTCGTCGGTGAAGGAGTCGGCCTGGTTGCCGGTGGCTGCCGCGCGACGTCTGCGGCGGTAGAAGAGGTTCTCTGCGAGGCGACGGCTGCGGAGACGGGCGCGGGCCTTGGCCTGGCGACGGACCTCGCCGCTTCCCTCGATGCGGCCGGGGGATGGACCGCCGGGCTTCTTCTTGCTCCGTCCGGCGGAGACGACGGTGGTGGGAATCGGGCGGCGGGGGAGGAGAAGGGGATGTCGGGATGGGAATTGGTGGGAGATGGCACGTATAGGGGACGGGGTCAAGGACAAGGTCTGGGCTTTGGGAAGGGGAAAGGTGGGTGAAGAAGAGAGGGAAGGTCTTATCCGCAGGCCCGTCCACTGGTGGCAGCTTGGACATGGAGAGGAAGGTGGCTTTGGGGGGACGAAATCGAGCGGAGGCATCACCGAGGGTTTTGGGTTTTCTCAAGGATTAGAACCGCGTGGGTTCCTTAAATAGTTGGTGTTGCTTCCGACCGGGCCTCAGTTAAGATTTGCTATTCTCGTGTTCAAGCCCGACCCGTTAACAATTAACTTCAGAACCGCGTGGGCTCCTCCAGTTGCAGAAGATCGACTCCCTCGCCTCCGAACGGCTCCTCCTCCTTCTCCTCCTCTACCAGTTCGCCTACCTCCTCTTCCTCTTCACCTTCTCCCTCCTCTCTAACGCCGCCGTCGTCTTCATCGTCGCATCCCTCTACGCCGCGAAGCCCGTATCCTTTTCCTGTTCCCTCACCGCCGTCTGCCCCATTTCCTCCGTCTCTTCCGCACCTTCCTCTGGGTCGCCCTCCTCATGCTCCTCTACAGCCTTGCCTTCCCTCGCCCTCGCCGTCCCTCAGCCGGCCTCAGGACCCGCCCTCCCTGTTCTTCTTTCTCCTCTTCACCCTCGTCCTCCTCGCTTTCCTCGCTGTCCACGTCTACATCTCCGCCCTTTGGCCCCTCGCCAGTGTAGTCTCCGTCCTTGAGCCCCTCTGCAACCTCGCCGCGATGGCCAAGAGCCGCGACCTCTTCCGTGGCCGCGCCCGCATGGCCTCTGCCTTAGTTTTCGACTATCTTGGTGCCTGTGGCCTCATCGGCGCTCTCTTCCGTGCCATCGTCGTCAAGGACCTCCGTGAGGAGGGCAGCCTCGTAGTCACCAGCGTGTCCATCAAGGTTCTCATCGGTGGTGCCCTTGTCGCGGTGCTCGTTGTGGTCAGCCTTGTCGGCCTGCTCGTGCAAAGCGTGTTCTATGTGTGCAAGAGCTGCTACCACCAGCAGATCGACAAGGGCGCACTGTATGATCACCTGGGTGGCTATCTGGGGGAGCACGTTCCGCTCAAGAGTTCCATTCAGATGGAAAACTTATGAGTGAACAACAAGTTGTATGCACAAGTAACTATTCGCTCTCGTTTTATCTTCATCTTTGTTGCTTCTTCGTTTCCTCTTGAGGAACAACCATTGCTTTAATAACTTGATTTGAAATGATAGAGTCATGTAATTTATGAATGTAAAAAGGAAAGGTTTTCAAGTCCTAGTTGCAGCATTCTTTGCTATAATTGTAGCTGCAAATATTCGTATTTGTTTCTCATTGAAAAATGTTCATATTTAGCTGCTGATGGGGTCTGATTAAAATGCAAACCTCAAAAACCACCCGATATCTCTTTTAGTTTCTTCTGTAACTTGTGATTTTGATATGTCAGATGCTATTTTACTATTGAAATATATCTTGGTGAACCATTCTCAATCCTGGAAGCATGAAAGAGCATGCTAAAAAACTACAGTTATTGATGACCTCAAATATAAGTGATTTCTGTGCCCTTGAATTTTTTTCTTTGTTAATTTTGGTATTGTTGACTGTTCTTTTGGTGTGCCAGTATTATTATAATAGCTGATATAAATTAATGTGCATTTTCTTGAGAAATAACTTAATTCCTTGATAGCTTGACAAAATCTTTTTATATACAATTTTTTATCATACCATTTTTTTCATAAGCTTAGTATCCAAAATAATATGCACTTTTATATATTCTCTATTAATATTAGTTGATTCTTGTTTCAAGCTACTCAAGACATTGCTGCTTGTTAAATCCATTTCAATACTACTTGTTTAAGAATGCAATATTGTGTAACAATCCTCTTATTATGACATGCAAAAATATGTAATCTTTATTAAGATAGCTTATTTTCAAGTTATAGCATATGATCATTAAGTGGGTTAATTACAAATTACCAATGTAGTTAGTTACCTTTAGCATCCCGATCTCTACATTTTAAAAAGTTATATTGATATCCTTGTAATTACGAAGGTGAAACATCTGGGTCCATTTATCCTAACATTGTTGGTTTTACCAACGAAAATATGAAAACAAAGGGTAAAAAGATAATTTTAACGTTTCAGCTGATGGTGGCGGATGACAGCGCCGTTGGGGGCCGTGGATGGTTGTTGTGGATGAGAAGAGTGATTATGTAAGAGCTGCTCTGCATTTGCACAAATGCTGACGTAGTTGTCGAGCTACCATTTCGTTGCTTTGCATCTGTGTCAGCATCGACGCAGTTGCTAAGCAGCATCTACATCAACATCGTTTATGCGTCTACGCAGTTGTCGAGCGGCAAAAGGACCACCGATGCAGATGTTGAGCGGCATCTACATCAATGTCGTTCATGCATCAACAACTGCATCTGCGTTGATGTCGACGCAATTATCGAGTGATAGTTTCACTACTCTGCATTTGCGTCAGCGTCAATGTAGTTGCCGAGTGGGGAAAGGACCGATACAGATGTAGAACAACAAAAGAGCCACTCGGCAATTTTGTTGGCGTTGATGTAAATATAGTTGTTGACACATGAACAACGTCGATGCAAATGTTGCTCGGTGTCAGCGTCGGCGTCGACGCAGATGCAGTTGCCGCTTGGCAATTGCGTTGGGGTCAACGCAGATGTAGAGCGGCCCTTGCAGTTGTCGTTTGAAAATTACGTCGGGGTCGACGGAGATACTGAGCGGTCCTCACCTCTTATCGTCACTCTTCTCATCCACAACAGCCTGCGGCATCGTCGTCTGCCGCCGTCGACGCCTTCCGTCACCACTAACTGAAACATTAAAATTATCATTTTATCCTTTGTTTTTGTGTTTCCATTGGTAAAACCAACGACGTTAGGGTAAATGACCTTAGATGTTTCACTTTCGTAACTATAGGGATGCCAATGTAACTTTTTAAAGTGTAGGGATCGAGATGCTAAATGTGACTAACTGCAAGGGGTAATATGTAATTAGCCATCATTAAGTAGTTAATATGAATTGAGTCCCATTTATTCTCTTGCTTTGTTCTATAACCTATCTTCACCTATCTCTTTTCTCCATTTGTTCTCTTCTTTTTTATTCCTACTTACGCCATTTCTCTTCTTTTCTTCCTCTCCTTTTTTGCACTTTCATGATGGCCTCTAAAGACCTCCGGTTATTCCTTCTCTCTGTTTTTTTCATTTTATTATTTCTCTATTTCCGTTTTTGTCCCACTTTAGTTTGTTCTTGTTGATGATTCTCTTTAATTCATCTTCTTTTCTTTTTATTTTACTTTCCTCTTTGCCTCCTCTTTTTTCCTTCCACCTCATTCTACTTTTTTTATTTTCTTGGCCACCATTTCATTGTTGCTTATTATATTCATGAGATTTGCTATGCATAATTTTTGTAAATTATCAACCACAAGAGACAATTTTTTGGCTTAACATACTTTAGGAGGCTTTCAAAGTTTGAAACTATGCACCAAGCATCCAATATGTATAGGAGCTCAAGAAACATATGCTATGGAAAAAATCAACAATGACTAATGTGTTTGCTATATGACCTTGATGAAGTGGATATTGAAGAAAATGAAACTAAGGAGGTAGGTCATCATGCTAAAAGCTTTGCAGATATGTTTGATGGAGGACTTAGGGAACCAAAATGAAAAGAACCAGTATATTTGTTTCTGATTCTAACCAAGAATAAGTTTTACAGATCTGTTTGATGGTTGACTTAGGTAACTGAAGTGAAGAAAACCAATGTCTTTGCTTTTGATTCTAACCAAGAAAAGCTGGTAAAATGAACCCCAAGTGTCTGTTCATCTTCATCTATTTTATCTTGATGATTGATCTAATTAATCTTCTAGCATGACCTGACTTGATGGGTCACCCATTAACTTAATGAGCCTGGACCACTACTCCACAATGATTAAACTCAAGATGATGAGTAGATCCTGCTAGCCCTATAAACCAACTCAATTCTTTTCCCACATTTGATAAGGTTTAAGCTTGGAATGATTTAATCTTTTTAATTTTGGCTTAACATCCTCATTGAGACCCTCAAACCTGTGTATAGTGCACATGAGAACTAGTCAATTGGTGATTTTATGTTATGATGCACCTCTAGCCCTATCCACGGATAGCCAGTTCCTACTTGAGTCCACCATGCTCAATACTAAGAAACTTGAGTCGATGGAATGACTAGCCTATTATTTTGATGAGTTTGAAACACATATTTGAAATGGTTAAGCTCAAGCCAGTAGTAGCAGAGCCATCTAGCCCTGTAACCAACTCAGTTATTCTTCTATATCCAATATGAGACTAAATTGGGGTGGACATCATTAGATGTGTGCCTCTTCACCAAGGCACATATGTTGCCTTTTACCTAGATCCAGCAGATCCTGGAGCCTTGCTTTGCCATAAGTCTATTTCATTTTCATGTTTGTGTTTTGTCATCCATATGAGGATCCTTTATCCATCACCTATTTCAATTGGATTTTGTTCTATAAGAATGATGTTATATTGTAAATCAGAATTCTCCCCCTTTTTGGTTATGAAAGCTGAATATCTTTGTCTGGTGTTCAGTCTATTTTGGATCCTACATGTTTATGTTGGTCAATTATGATAGATGTAGCAATTTTAGATATTGATATAGTTACCAATTAGTACTTCATATAAACTAGATATTATTAATTTATGTTAAATGTGACAGCCTAAAAAAATTGAGAAGTTGCAGCATAGGATGTAAAATTCTGTTTTTAGAAGTTTTGCATGTGTATTCTCTATTTAATGCTTGCTTTTCTCAACACTTGTCTCGAAAAGACATCTTCTGTGACCGATTGGAATTGTCATGAGAAGAAGTGAAAATAATTCTATGGCTAATCCAATAGGTTATCAGGAAAGAGCAGTGATGGCCCTGCTGTGTCACTGATCTAGAAATATCTGATTGCTAATTCTGTCCCCTAAGAGTAATTGATGAGGGCTTTTAATTGTCACTAAAACGATAATTGGCGACACTATATTGAGTCACTGAAACCATGATGAGATTGCCACAAAAATTATTCTTTTGGATACGACAACATTTTGCTCAGTTTGTCACTCGTGTTAACACCATAATCAACATCGGCTTTGGTCAGTCCTGTGCAAATGCTAGCAGCTTTCACCAGAACTCTTGGCGATGGAATTTCTAGTGAACTTTAGTTGTCGCCGAATGGCTTTCTTATTTTCTACTATTGTTACCGATGATGATGTGATGTAACACCAGTTCATTCGGAGGAACTTATTTAACTTTTACAGTTAAAGTTGGTGTCAGTTATAGAGTACTTTGCAGTTGTTAATATTTAGCAAAATACTGTATGGTTGAAAACGGATAATATTCAAACACTTTGTGTTGGGAGAGCAATGGTTGAACTGGTGGGGACTAATGACTCTATTTCTGTAGTAGACGTGTCTGTGCTTATATTTGTTGGTGTTCATATTACTTTTCCATTAATAGTTAAACTATAGAATGATTTTTGAGTTGCTCCCAGACCAAGGCAAAGCTTTTGTTTTCTCTTTATTTCTTTCTTTTAGTAGCATTACAAGGAGAGTAGCTCCAACAAATACTTGTGTTTTCTATTGGCAAAGGTCTACCCAGGATCTCTTTTCTGAATACTCTATTCTATCAATTGTTTTTCCATCAATCTTTTTACTGTCTCATGAAAGAGTTCTCCATCTAGTTCGTTTCCACATAAGATTACCTTGTATTCATTAAAGGTGTCTGGTTTTATTGTTCTTTCTAATTTACTTGTAGTCTGTTCTACCATAAACTGTTCCTTTGGAGAATGACTTGAAGTGCACATAATCTACCTTCTTATTAGGAGCTGTCGACTACGCATGCATTCCTCCGGAGGGTTTGAAGGGCGATCAATAGAACCAGATCTAAAAAGAAGCCAAAGGTAAGTTCTGAAACTGATCTAAAAATCCATGCAATCAGGTGCAAGCAAAAATAGTATTGCCAATTTAATTACCAAGAATATCAAGGAGTCTGTTGGTAGTATTTCATGCACAGACATCACAGATTCACAAGCTATTCCATCACTCACTAATCTATATATGTCTAGCCAAAAATGCTAGTCCAAATGGGAAAAACAAAATTATATGGCTAACAAATAAACAATTTGAAAGAAATTGTAGAAGACTGGATAACTGCATTTTCTTGTTCGTCTTCCAAGTGACTTTTTGTATGCATCTTCCACATCCTTAGTATATGATAAAATGACAGCCATCATAACCTGTAGAAGACAAGGAAAATTAACTCGAGCCGGGAGATTTTGTAGAAGGTTCAAAGAATTTTTATGTTTCATAGTCCTTTCATGATTGATTGCACAATCTTCTTTTACTTCCAACACAAAATAAAAAAGTAATCTGTTATTAATAAACTGAAGTCAAAGTTACTATTGGGCTGTCAACCTCTGAGATTATTCTTCGAATAATCAATTTAATATTGTACTGTTCATCCAATCAAAATGATCCAACAACGTTTGAGGAGCATGCAAGAAGAATTAGCAAATGGGATTGAGCGATGCATGAGCAGACTTACTTGGATCTCTGGTCACAAGCATGGCAGTCCCCCCGAAGTCGCACGTCCCGCCGGCCACCTTCGTCCGTTGCCAGTAGCTATTGAAGGCGAAGGAGGCATGAGCTATCAACGTATCTGGCTGGTAGCAGGACCCATTGGGCAGAATGGAGTCGCAGTCTGCCCCTGATCCACAAGCATAATTCATGGCTTCTTGGATGATCGGGTCAGGCACGGTGGGCTTCGCGACGCACCACATGCTCCGCGACCCCTGCGCAGGAGACGGCGGCGCGATCGGCGGCGGATACACCACCGGTGGAAGGAAAATAGGCGGCCCCGGCGTAAACTCCGGTGGGCTTGGCACATACACCGGTGGGTTCGGGACAAGGCTCGGCGGCGGCGGCTGGCTTGGTACGAAGCCAATTGGGCTCGGAACGTAAGTTGGCGGGCTGGGCTCATATTCAGGTGGGCTTGGGACATTGGTGGCCGGGCTCGGCACAGCTTCTGGCGGATTCGGCACCGTCCCCGGTGGGCTTGGCACAGTTTCTGGCGGATTCGGCACCGCCCCCGGTGGGCTCGGCACGACCTCCGGTGTGCCTGGAATGTACACCGGCGGGTTGGGGGTGAGGACCGGAGGGTTGGTGGTTTCAGGTGGAGGTGGTGGGGGCTGAATGATCGGAATGGGGGTTGACGGCGTGGTCGACGGCGGAAGTGGGGTGTATGGAGGGTAAACGCAGAAGGGAGGGTAGTCTTCAGGAGAGGAGGATGGGCCCATGGCATCATCATAGGGTGGCAACGAGACAGGCGACCCAACGTAGTAGAAGGGATCCGAGGAAGCATAATGAGTGTCCAAGCGTTTGAGAGCCTTCATCTGTGGGTTTCTTTGGTGCTTCACTGCAAGGGCATCACGGAGGTACGAGTCCTTGGACTGCCTTAAGCTTCTACCCTCTACTCAGCAACATCAATTCAAATATCATGGTGTTGTCGTTCACAGATAACTATCAGCAGTGGGGAAAAGAAGTGCAATGTACTCACCACATCGGACGACAAGTGTTGCTGCTGCAAAGAGTTGATTGATGAGAAGAAGGCAAACAAGAGCATGGAGTTCTTTCCTAAGATCCATGAGAACTTTGCCCTACTTCGGCTGTTGAACCCAAGCTCTCTCCTCCTTGGCGATGATGCGCGCTATGCTCATGAGACATCAGAGTGAGAGCGGGGTAATTATAGCCAGCTTCAATATATGGCAGTGTCGTGGCCATGAGAGATGAGGAGGGGGGGGGGGGAGCAGAGGAGGCCGGCAATAAAGTGGAGCACCGAGCTTTAGCGGCGTTGCTTTTGCCTCCACCCGCCTTCTGGAGGGAGATAAAGAAATGCCGAGTCTCGGAAAGGATGGGATGGTGGACTTGTTTTATGTGCTGCTGATGCGGCAGTAAGGATTGGTTATGTTGGTGCGGGCAACCTCCTCCTCCTCCTTTCTCCATGCTCAGTTTTGGTATATGTTCTTGCTTGTCGCTGGAGCAAATCAAAGGACAACTCCCGTGGCCTTTCTCTGTTGCTTCCGTCCTACTCAATGGAACTCTTATCTTATTATACGGATTGGAAACCAACCAAATGATTCAGCGTACTCGGAGCACATGATAAGGGATCAATCCACTGTTAGTGATGGTGTGTTTGAGCTCCAGTGTACATAATCTAGAGGTATGTGATCCCTGTTTGCTCATCAAATTCGAGGGTCAGTCTCGCAATGCTGAGACAGAATGTGATAAAGCCTACTCTATTGCTTAGCTTGTGATAAGGCTGAAACGATACAGGAAAAGGGTAGAGAGAAATTTGTGTCGCTCACATCATAAGACATAGCTATGAAAGTGAAAACTGCATTTGCTGCCACCCAACAGGTCATTGAGACCCAAAGCTATGAGGATATTTCAGGGAAAAATGAGGCAAAATGTAGTTTTGTTTACTTGTCTTTCTTTGGTAGAGCAGATGAACTCTGTCAATCTTCAATATAACTTTGTCCAAGCGGTTTCTTTTGCTATTGTCATTGTTGCCTAAAAATTCTAATGCTCATATTCCTGGAATACATATTATTAGGAAAAAACATTATTAACGTCTTAATTAGTGTGACATGGTTCGAATTCGTATATATGATTGTTCGAAATATCTCTAAGATGGCTCATAGGTGGAAGTATTGTACTATCAAGGTGAAAGTGTTGCACTTTCGAGATGACACCTGCATTAAGATCGGGAGAGATTTTTTTGATCCGATTCCTCCGACACTCATAATCCGAGGTTCCTAAATATGAGCTCGAGTAATTTGAGAAAGAAGATAATCCTTTTTTTTTTTTTGTTTAAGATGTGTCATTATACCTTGAAGAAGGGAAAGAAAGTTTATAATGTCGAAGAGAAGAAAGTTTGTGATTGTTTTTCTTATCATAAAGGATAAAAAAGATTATACTTTTCTTCGTGATTTGAATCTTGATGAAGACAGATGAGTAGATGATGACTTGATCTCACGTGATAATCATATGTCAACTAACGGTAGATTTCCTATCACATGTAAACCCAGGTTTTATCGGCTTGTAGCAATACTTTGAGAACTATTCATCAAGTGTTATGTACACAAGACATTTCTAGGTGCCACCGATCTAATATATTGGTCCGGACTCAACGGGAACCGATCATAATCCGTCAAACCCGTTCGGTTGAGCTTGTGATTATATTATAGTATTACTGGGCCAATCTTAGCCCAAATCTATGCTGAAACAAAACCGAAAAGGATTCGGGCCGACACAGCACTGTTATGGGCTAATTCTAGAGCAGCCCATGTATGGCTCACGATCTTGGCACGTGCAAGCGGGCCTGGGGTGTCGTCGCTGGAGTTCCTGTATAACCCGGAGAAAGACGAGGCCGCCGTCCTTTGCCCGGTTGCAGCGGGCAAGAGCGAAGCGCATCGATTGCGGGGCCCTGTGTTTGGCCTATCCATTACATGAACCTCGGGGGATTGATTGTGTTTGGACCACTGCAAGACTCTGGGGAAGAAGATCGGTCTCGTACGCCATGAGATGGTCAATACTTCAGAAAGCTAGTAACCGGCCTTCCTTCTTCAACAAAGAGTACAATGGAGCAAGATGTTGAGACGTGAGGCTGCTATGGGATCTATCGAGAGGTCATTACCCATGTAACTAGCTTTGAGTTATTTTCATTGATCTTAGAGGACAACAACAAGGCGGAGAAGAAGAAGAAACATCCATGGAATGGGAAAGAGACAAGTCTGTCATGCCTGCGATGGTAACTCATGCGGGTGGCCCAGCAAAAAGGAAATCAGGGAGACACTCTCGAGTCTCCCTTGTCTACTCCCTACATCAATGTGCCTCTTATGCTAAAGTTAACCATACAATCGAAAAAGTATTCGTATGAATTATCAGTATCAGGCATGTTGTGGCAAAGGAGAGAAAAGCTCTCGCTTGGGTTCCTCATTGCACTGCTTTCGTTTAAGCAGGCTTTTATGTTGATGTGATTCTCTCGGCAAGGATTCTTCATGTTGCTTTGCAATGAATGACATATATCATCCTTCAATTTCCAGTGTAATAATAATAATAATAATAATAATAATAATAATAATAATAATAATAATAATAATAATAATATAATAATAATATAATAAATCCACCAGAGGTATAAAAAAAGGTAGCAAAACCCAATAATCTCACAGTGCTCACTCTTGCTCTCTCTGTAGATGATCCTAGCCGTCCACCCAGTCGATCTGATTCGTGACCATACACGGCACGATTTCCATCGCCCCCTTCGCTTGCGCCTGCCTGGCGGTTTCAGTTCGTTTCTTTCGGGTCGTGTTTCCTCTGCGAGCGAGTGAGATCGAGAGAGAACACAGCGATCGAGTAAGGAATGGAGAACGTGACGGGGCTTCTCCGGGTGAGGGTAGTGAGGGGCGTCAACCTCGCCAAGCGTGATGCTGGAGATAGCGACGCCTACGTCGTCGTCCTCATGGGCGATCAGGTAATCACCACTCATTCAACCCCTTATTCCTCCCATACCACATTGCTTCTTCTCCTGCAGGATTCGATCTATTTACTTTTCGATATTAAATTCTCCTCGTACTAGTTTTGGATTACCCATCTCCCACAACCGTTTGATCAATTGATTTGGTTCTGATTTATTGAGACCTACCTAGGTTAGGAAAGGACGTCGAATCTATGCGTTCTTTGTGTTGGTTGCTTCTCCGATGTTAGGGAGTGTAAAGTTGGGCGAGTGAGTTGCCCCCGATTGGCTCTTGAATGCAGAGCTTCTGATTGCTGCATTGTCTAGGGATTCACTGATTCCCCTCTCCATTGATATGCATCGATCAACCTAGACAATGCACCAACTTGATACGAACAACTTAACTGATCGTGATCATCTGTTGACAGAAAAGGTTCGTTGAATTATTGGTGTCCAATTCATTGGTGCCCCCGATGTTTATTTGGTGTAATTATTCTAGTAGATCGGAATGTGGTCCAAAATTGGGCTCTGCAACCCGTTGGATCCCTCTACTTGTTACGAAGACTGTACTAGTAAAGTAAAATTTCTTTAAAGAAACATGAGATGAGAAAAATCATGGTCATGTATCAGAAATGTCGGACGTGTTACATTGGTTCTTTAATGTATATTACAGCATCGAATTCTTGATTACATTTTGAGGTTCATTTAAGATTCTGGATTTCTCCCATACCTGCATAAGCGCATTGAGTTGCATCCAGACAGGTGAGTTTTAAGTGCTTGTTAACTCATTAAATGGGATGGCTATCCAAAGACTCCATTTAAATTTGGAACAAAGCAGAGGATTTAAGAGAAGTCATTATTCCTTTTCCGGATTAGTTACTAATCTTTCAACTAAATACATTATTGGATGTGCAACTAGAATGCAGGCATTAACTACAAGCATTGTTATAAAGAGAAGGAAATAAATTCTTTTCATTTGGTTTTCTTAATGTTCGCAAATTCATGAACTGGGTTAAATTTATTTAGTGTGGAATGAGGTGAATGGAGACCCCGGTCCTCTCTTGTTTGTGGTAGGACGTATTCAAACCACTAAAGTGAAAAGCAAGTGGGAGAATCAATTGCTCAGAAATTGGTGATTGCTCATGCAAACCATGGTTATGTGGAAGTTAGGAATTTAGATTTGTGGGAGAATCAATTGCCCAGAAATTGGCTATTGCTCATGCAAACCATCGTCGTGTGGGAGTTAGAAATTTAGATTTATGCTCTATAAATTAGCCATTACATATGGAAATTTCCTCGCTAAAGATGGTGGTATTGCTACCTCGATCTACATTAAAAAAAAACATTATTTTTGTTTGTACAGCTTTAATCAGTAGTGCAATAATTGATTCGTATTAAATACCTGAGTCCTTGTACAATATCGTGATACTGATTCTGTTGTGCTATCTTTTATTTGGGTAGAAATTGAAGACCAATGTAAAAAAGAATAGTCTGAATCCAGAGTGGAATGAAGACTTGAACTTTTGTGTCTCAGATCCCACTCAACCACTTAAGATTGTAAGTATTTCTTCGCCATTGAGATGCTGCTGCTCTATTGCATCAATATGTTCCTACTTTTAGTCTTTTGAGCAAAGAGATCATTTACCATGCAACAAACAACATGAAGAACATAATTTGTATCTATATTATTTGAGAAATATAACCTACATATTTTAGAACCCCCTAGTCTCACCGCACATATTAATTATGCTTCCTTATCATATTAAATTTAGTTGCTTTACCATCATCAATTGCTCATGTTTGCTTTGTACGGTAAGGTCACCTGTGCCTAAATTCTTACTGTTTGGTTTATTAGCTTTGAATGTTTGGGTGATGGACCTTACCTTGATCTTTAAGGTCATCTCTCTAGATAACAAAAGAATCTTTGTTGTCCCTTAGGCATTGATTACACTTGTACTACACAAAGTTCACATATCTAAAGCAATCAATATGCATGAATAGCAAGTTGTCAAATAGTCTTTTTTTCTTTAATTTCTCAGTAGGCATTATCTGACAGATTCCTATGCTGCAATGCCTGTCTTGGATGGCCAGCATGATTCATGCAGTCCAGGAACGAATCACACTAAGATTATATTTCTTGGGTCGAACAATTTTCTCTATTACTGTCATATGGGTGCAGTATTTAGTTTTAGGATTAGTAACCCCTAATCTGTTTTAGTTCTACTTTGGCAAATTCTGTCCTGGTTATTATGACTCATGGTAACTTTGTTCATAAATTGGTTTCTCGAACCAACCAGCTTGGTACTTCGGATGTCATCATATGGTAGATCAGTGACCTAGAAAATTTTACTATGTGGTACTAATCTCCCACCAAAGAACAATAGTTTTATTTTCCAGTCTTTGGTCTGAAAAAAGATCATGCTTTCTATTTTCCCGAAGGTGGAATATTAATTTTTTTAGAATTTCATATAATTAAAAGTTAGAATCATGCTTTTCTTTCTCATTTTCACTAATGCAATAGAAAAATATCAGAAAGAAACCATGTTTATATTCAGCATTTTGATGGAGGGTTTTTTATTGTGTATTTTTGTTCATAAAGCATTGAAACTGATATTTTTGTTATACATTTATTCTAATGTTTTGGCAAGAATTGACTACTGCAAAACCATGTCTACGAGCGAGTCGATTTTATCTCTTTAACAAGGACTTGCAGGAAATTTATGACAAAGACACGTTAACCCAAGATGATAAGATGGGCGATGCCGAGTTGGATATACAGCAATTCATGGAGGCTGTCAAGATGGGTTTGGCAGATCTTCCAAATGGTTTCGTGATTGAAACTATGAGGCCAAGTCAACAAAACTGTCTAGCTGGAGACAGCACTATTACTTCGAAAGATGGTACGATTGCTCAAGATGTTGTCCTTCAACTCAGAAACGTGGAGAGTGGCAATGTGGAGCTGCAGCTGCTGTGGCTTAGCGTTCCCTGCGCGCCAGATTTCTAGCATGTGTTTTCTGCAGGTTTACACTTCCCTCTTCAATTGTTATCCAGGATTTGTCCTCTCTCTCGAAGCTCGAGACTATCCTTCTGATTTATGCGCAATAAGGACTCGAGTCTTGCTAAACTCAACTTTCTTTTCACGTTATGTATTTGTTTGTTATTTATTATTTATTCAAAAGGTTAAATATAAATGCTTGGGTTTGACGTATTAAAAGATTCAGATGTGTTCTCAACATTATAGTTTTGACTTTGATTGTCCAGCGTAGGAAGTCATCCCACCATGGCACGATGGATTTGTTTGACTCCATGATACCAGCGGGCTTTCTGATACTTCTATCGTTTGCGTCGAATCATCACTCTAGAATTGGTGGTTTAGTGGTTCAACATTTCTATGACAATGGTTTATGTTACAGGTGGATCCTTTAAATTGGACATTCTATCGTGTGTCATACAGAAGATAAGATATTTGAATTAGATTTAAAATTATCTTAAAATTTTATATTTGATTTAGATTTTAAAAGGTTCGAGTAAAGAGCTAATTATTACTCCTAGTTAACTACTTTTAGTGTTTCGGTCCCTAAGTTACATTGGCATTCTTATTAAAGTTATAAAAGTGAAATATCTATGTTATTTATCTTAGCGATGTTAGTTTTATCAAAAGATCATTTTAATGTTCAATGACATACGACGACATCGGTGGCATTGACGTTGAATCAGTTGCATGGTCGTCTCCGATGATGATAAGGTTCACTTTCATTGCGATGCCACCTGCATCTATGAGAAGCGTGTCGCCAACCTCATTGCCACTCTGGGGCGACGTTAACGCATATGGTGGTTATCGTCACGATGTCTACAGCAAAGATGGTGGTTGCCTTACTAATGACCCATTGAGCAAATTCCAAGCTCAACTCGATGCTGAGGTCGTCGAAGCTTCTATCGCTCTTCTCGCTGCTGCATTACGATGCCACCCACCTTTATGAGAAGCGTGTCGCTAATATCATTACAACTTTGCATCAACGTTGACACATATGGTGGTGGTCGTCACGATGTTTATGGCGAAGATGGTGGCTACCGTACTAATGACCCATTGAGTGAATTCCAGGCTCAACTCGATACTAAGGTCATCGGAGTTCCTATCGCTCTTCTTGCTGCTACGTTAATTCTGGCACCATCTCTCGCATAGCGGCCTTTTCGTCGCTCTGCGTTGATGTTGATATAGTTATCGAACGACAAAAGAGCCATTCGACAACTATGTCGTCGTATACACAGATGCATAATGATATGAGGTGGGTGGTGATAGGGTTGATAGTGCGCTCCTCATAGAGACGGGTGGCATCGCAGTGAGAGCAAACCTTATTATCGTCAAAGACGATCGAACAACTACGTTAGTATCGACGCCAGCAACGTCGTCATCCACCATCGAACGTTAAAATTATTATTTTTATTTTTATCGATAAAATTAAATATATGTAGATGTTTTAGTTTTATAATTATTAGGATATAAATATAATTTGTTAAAATATACGAATCGAAACTTTAACCAACTATACGGATATGTAATTAGCCAATAGATGATGAAGATTCCACTACTGCTGCTGCAGCAAGCGGCCAAGATCATTGTGGTGGCGTACTCACAGTCATCGCCAGCGACAACGTACATCACGAAACAGGTTCCACGTGGCGTACACGCGTGCGTCTCATTCGCCCTCCTCCCTCGTTCACAACCGCCCCCATTCGTTCCTCACCGCGTCTTGTCTCTCTCAGTCCATCAGCTCCCCCACAGCCAACACACAACACCTGCCCACGTCCCAGAGAAATGTCGCGCTGCCCGATGTACTACCACGTTACGTGTCACGCACCTCATCAGTGCGGCCGTTCCCGAGGGCGCCTTCCCCTCCCTCTCACCTCACGGGTTTGCCCCGCCTCGCTCCACGGCATTTACTATTGCGGTTGGTGCGCCCCACCACCGTCAACGAGGACAGACGAGGCGGCAGGCACCCGCAACCGCCCCCCACTCCCCCAACAACACGACGATGACAACCATTACTACGACCCTACTGTGGCAATTAAGTAGAGCAAGAGGGAGGGAAGGGGTGTTTTCGTCAAAGCCATTGCCGCGAGTCGTTAAAACGCCACCTCCATCTCTCTCTCTCTCTCTCTCTCTCTCTCTCGCGCCTAACTGCGTTCGCGCGGACGGGAGGAGGGTGCACGCGCGCACACTCGTCATGTGACCGTGCTGTTCCCCGCCCCACGACACGGCAGCGATGCGCTCCACGTGGGGATGTCAGAGGCGGCAGCAGCGCCCCACCTCTCCCTCCACCCACCGCTCGACACGCCGCCGCCCGATGGCCCGACTGCGTCCTTTCTTCTGCTATAACTCCCCCTCTGTCTCTCTCTCCTGCTGGCTTTATTCCTTCCGCTTTATCTACGCTCAGCGAGACTTGCTGTGCGTGGGCAGCGACGGGACGGAGAGAGAGAAAGGTGGTGACTAAAAATTAATCATGTCAGGCGCCGTCGACAGTCCGTACATGAGGGAAGAGGGCTGCAGAGGCGTATAGGGCTGACGTCAGGATTTGGTGGCTGGTAGTGTGAGAGCGTTGGCGAGAATAGTAGTCACATGACGCCCTCTGCGACACGTCAAATCAGACGGCGGCTCGCTCTCATTTTCTTTCGTTGTCTCTTTGAAGGAGAGTAGCACGCCTCCTCTCCCGTCCTCCTCGGTCTCTTTGGCTAGAAGATACGGAATAGAAAGAGAGAGCGAGAGAGGGAGAATCGACATGGGATCGAGAGGAGACGGGCATCATTACAGAGGGGTCCGGAAGAGGCCGTGGGGGCGGTACGCGGCGGAGATAAGGGACCCGTGGAAGAAGACCCGGGTGTGGCTCGGCACGTTCGACACCCCCGAGGAGGCCGCGCTCGCCTACGATCGCGCCGCCCGCTCCCTGCGCGGCGCAAAGGCCAAGACCAACTTCCCCTACCACCACACCTCGGCCCCTCCGCCGCTGCACCTCCCGCCTTCCGCCACTCTCGACCTCAACCTCCCGTGCCACTGCTGGCTCGTCCCCGCGCCACCGCAGGCCGTTCCTCCCTCTCCGCCACCCCCGCCGTCGACGGCGCTAGTCCTAGGCAGTTTCGCACTCTATGACCCCGCCAAGACTCCGTCACCGGAAGCGAGGAACGCGGCAGCTCCAGACACGCCGGCGTCGTCCTCGGCCTCCCTCTTCCGGGACGTCGGGAGGGATTTGCTTCTCGATCTCAACGAGCCGCCGCCGGCATCGTCACTGCTGATTGGTTGAGCAGCTATTTTAACTACTGTTCTCTTCCGTCTACTCTTTGCTCATCTCTCCTCCTCAAAGTTGTTTTCCCCCGTCTACCTCTTGCGCTGGAATCATATCTCTGTTTAGATGTAAGATCAGACGACCGTGTAATTAGAGATCTTCTTTTCGAACAATTTCTTTCCTCCACGCTACATGCTACGAAAGAAAGGCTGCCACTGATAATGGAGGCCGCTGAGCTCGAGACACGATCGTTCATGGCGGAAAGCACGACGCTTTGGGACTATTATTTTATTCATTTCATAATTGTCTTGGACGTCCAGTTGTTCGTATTAGCATGTGTGTGTGTGCGCGCGCGCGCGCTTTGGACTTCTCAATGAAAAGAAGGCAGCGAAGCGGCGGACGGTAGACTTGTGCGGCGGCCGCAGGGTGGTGCAGTTAATGCACCTCCTTCGATGTTCCCCTTGCGTTCTCTCTTTCTTTAGGACAGCCTCGGCAGCTCGAGTGGGTCCTCCGTTGCCCGTGATGCAGAGGAAAAGAAGCAAAGAAAGGAGAGGGCACTTAATTGTTTCAGCTCTGCCCATCCGTCCAAGGGTGGGTGTCATCGCCTATTGCCGTGGCCCGTAGTGACAGGCAGGGAGCAGAAGATGGTGCCATATTGATTGACAACCTGCATCACCGCTCACGTAGCAAAACGCGGGCCCAATCCCCGGCGGGGGCTCCGGAACTACAACCTTTTACTTGGGTCAAGCCGGGCCCTCATCTCTTTGGGACGGAGTCGGCTGGGAGAAACGCGCGTCGGTCGGGCCGTGGCGCGCGTGCCGACTGTCCACCAGGACCCGACAAACCCAGGCAGCGGGGCGCGAGGGGCACCGCGCGTGAACCTGGAGTAAGTGCACGCGGGGACCCTGCCACCCTCCCCCGCGGCCCCCAGCCTGCCGACGTCCCGTTGGACCCCCACCACACCTCTCCGGCGCAAATCAAGTGGACCAAACCCATCTCTTTCTTCTTTTTCTTCTTCTTCTTCTTCTGTTTCTCCGGTGCGCTGCCCAGCGACCCGCCCGCTGTGGCCCCTCCACAAGCAGCAGCCGCCCCGTACCAGTGGGAGGAGACCGGGCCGGGATGGGTTGCGATCGCTTTTTGGACCAGAAGGACGACGGACGTCGGTCGGCCAGTCCTGGCCTCGCTCGTAGATCCGGGGACAGGCGTCGTCAACACGCTTACTACGATCAGTTACCCTTCTCCTGCATCCCCCCCTTCGAACAATTGCCCACCGACTTACCCGCCGGCTGATTGGGTTTAATCGCGGCCCCACGGGGCTCTACCTTTAACCACTAGGTAGGTGAAATGGTAGGCAATGATAAATATTTAAAATAAAGGCAAAAAAGGTCGTGCGAGAAAAAGGAATGGGAAGAGGTCGGACGAAGAAAGGGACAAGAGGCCTGCCGGCTAACACAGAGGCACCCACGCTCTTCCTCCTCGGTGGACGTCGATAATAAAAACACCAAAAGCATCAATAAATTGTTCTTCAATAGTAAACATAATGGACAAGAGAGAGCGAGATGACAACACCGAGATAGGGAAAAACCAAGAAATTAAGGGTTTACTATTGTACAAATCTCTCTCTCCAACACCGCCGCTTTCATCTTCCGAGGGATACATAGACGTAAAAAACAAACTGCTACGGCCTCTTCTTAATCGTCGACAGTGGCGATCAGAGAACTGTTTTAGCTAGGCGTGGGATGAGGCATGGAGCGACAAGGAAAGCACATCAGGCGATCTCGGGTGGAGGGGGCAGGTTGAGATCTAAATCGAGCGTCAGCATCTTGTGCGGCCCACGGAAGCGGTGGTTGAGGCGCACGTCGGCGACGGAGGAGGAGTCGGAATCGCTCAAAACGCCGCTGGCCGTTGGAGCGTGCATATCGGCGATGATCATGGGCGGGCAAAAGCGGCGGCGGTTCATGGACACCGCCGCCGACGCCTTCTCGGATCCGACGATCGTGTCGAAGAGGCAGCACGGGCGGGATGCCGGCATGGCTGGGGCGGCGACCGCGGGGTAGGGCTGGAATGGGAACCGCGCGACGCGGCGGCGGAGGAGATCGAAGTCGAGCGAGGGCGGGAGAGGGATCGCGAGTGGCGGCACCTCGCGGCTGGAGGACTCCACCGTGCTGCTCTGGCTGCTGGGGCTGCCGCCACCCGCCGCCGGGGTCGCGATCGCGACGACTCCGGCCGGGCCCGGCCTCGTGTACGCCTCCGGGTGGGGGAAGTTGGTCTTGGCCTTGGATCCACGAAACTGCCGGGCGGCGGCATCGTATGCCCGCGCGGCCTCCTCGGCCGTGTCAAAGGTCCCGAGCCAGACCCGGCTCTTCTTCCCCGGGTCCCGTATCTCCGCAGCGTACCTCCCCCAAGGCCGCTTCCTCACCCCTCGGTAATGGGTCTCCTTCCCCCCTGCTCTTCCTCCACCGCCAGCCCTCCCACCGCCGCCGGCCATCGGGTTCTCTCGTAGCGCCACAGCAACGAGTCCGTCTTCTCTCTCTACTTTCTCTGTTTTCTTATTGCTCGGCCTTTTCGTTCCAACAAAAACACTTTATAGCTCGGGTGGATAGCGTGCACACATCAATTTACAGCGAGATTTGGACGGTGCAGCGGAGAAACAGAACGATTCGGCCAGTCAACGAGAGATTTGACTGTCCTCCGCGCGCCGCCCCCACCCGTCACCCACAAACCCACCCCTCCCACACACACACACACGCACACGCAAACCTCCACCCAGACTAACAACCCCAAGTTCCTCACCGCTTTTTCGCGAGATCCGTGGGACCCGCGGTCCGAAACGGCCTTACCGGGGTATTCGTGTGCTTTGGGTCGGTGGCCTATTTAATGGTGTTTTCGTGGATTTTGATGAGGAGATACGTGGCGCGACGAGAGGTACCCCAGTCAGGACAGGGTGAGCGGCTTTGCTGCCAATCCGTTCCGTTAACTGACAGCCGTTAAACAGGCAACGGCTGGTTGCCTCTGCCGACTACGGACAGAAGGAACGGCGGCGATTACGGCGTCACCGCGGCTGCTCCCCTCGTCCGGGCCCGCACCATCTGTCGGCATCGACCGCTTCCTCGCTGCGGTACTCGGATAGCAGAGCCGGGTCACGCTCCTCTGACGTCGGCGCCCACTGTCCTGCACCAATGGGCCGCACTCCTCGTGGCCGAGTGTTTGTACGACCGCACACGACGGACGGACGCTAACCGGACAGCTCCTTGGTACCGACGCTCAACTACGACGGGGGCGGCGAGATACCGCCACGCGTCCAAGAGTCGATCGGGAGCGGACGGACTCGATCTTGCCGTCCGTAGAACGGACGGCCCAGACGACACGGTGGGTGGGGATAATGCAGACGTATGCAAGAATCACACGGCAAGCAATAAAGAGAGAAGCGGGTGGCGACGGGGGTAGGAGGGAAGGATTGCTTGACGCGCAAGGCGCAGCAGCGAGTGTGAACGGCTTTACGTGCCGCCAATTGATTTCTGGTGTGTTGGGGGGGGTAGCTGGCGGTGGCGGGTGCGGTGGGGCGCGTCGCTCGCAACGTATATGCGGACGGACATTATTGCACACAATCTACGTAAGTGGGTCGATGTGATGTGATGCGATCGACAGACAACCATCACACGGATCATACTGCGTGGTCGTCGTTGTCTGTGATGGACCATTGATTTGAATTCCGATCCTCTCATGTACCGTACCGCACGCATGCGGTGCCGGAGGACGACCGCCCCACCCCTCCCTCCCTTTTGTGACGCAAAAGTCACTTTAGTGTAGATACAATTCGTGCCATTTATATAGCGATAGGTTCCGATAGGTCGTTCGGGTGACAGACCTCTGATTTGAATTTTGTTTTCCCCCATCTGGTTTGCTGTCGATGTCTCCCCACTAGTGAGAAGATTTCTAGCTCTGCTCTGCCCTGCCCTGCCCTCTAAGAATGGGCTGACTTCTAATGAAGCAAGATATTCACCAATGGAAGGGGCCCACGTGTTAGGTGGAGCCGCCCTGATGGAGATTAAAGACTTAATGTTGTATTGATGCAGTGGAGTTGAATCCCACCAGAAATGTACGCCTTGAGACAAGGGGGCGAGGACCACAGCCTTCCATTTCGGATTCAGGGAATCTAATTCATTTACCAAGCAGCTAGCTAATGGAATGGGACCGGCGTGGCAGGTGCTACGTATAACGGAAAACATGGACCACGCCCTCGGCATGTGGTCCAAACATGACAGGGGTGGGTCAATGCGTGCGACGTCCAAGAGTGGGCACGCCGGGCATTCCCGGGCGGAGATGGTAGAGGCATTCGTATGGGTACACTCCAAACACAGCCAGAGGTGGCTTGGTAGTGTGTCAAACTGGATTCTTTTTGGTTCGGTTCTACGATACTACAGGTGGCTTGCACGCTGCATTTGATGAGTTTGTGACTGTTTGGTTGCTTCCTATAAACAGGAAAGAAAATTAGGTTCCTTACCCTTCTCTCTCTCCTAAATTATGGTTTTTCCTACATTATTTTATGAATAAATTTGATAAAAACATGATACTAACAGCACAGGAAATCAACTGTACACAGTTCGATATTTACACTAGTATCAGGCAATTTTTATTTTCTAGCATTTAGAACCATTCGCAATCTACTAGCATTTAGAACCATTCGAAAGGGTAGGCGAAAGCGGGCTAGAAATGTGGCTAGTCGACAGAATGGAAAGACATAAGATCCAGAACATTAACGACTGCAAAAAAGATGACTGAAGAAATGGAAATTGCAGATTGAACAACAAAAATTGCAAGGCAGAGAATAATAATATGCATGGAATTTGGAGATGGAAGATGCACCAAAACAAAAAGCTCGTATAGTTGCAGGATTCAAACCCGAGTTGCTGTTAGCTGCTGCTGCTGCTGCTGCGGAGAGTAGTTCATGTTCTGGGCTCAGCTGTAACAAAAACCAAGATGATATCTCCCCATCACTAACAGAAGAAATGCTATCCAGTGACAGGCTTGCACCTGGATACAGAACAAAGAAATCATGACATGGCATGCCTTGACAAGGCAAATACAGAAGTAGGCTTGCAGCTGAAGAGAAATTGATGAGATACAGGAGTTCCCCTCATCTTGATTCTCATCAATTAACTTCCATTTTGTTTTTTTTTTTTCTTTACCAAGCAAATATGACACCATAATCACACAATGCAAAATCATTATCATTCATCTGTTCATTTTTAAAACATTTAACATATTTACTTCCCTCGTAGAAGCAAATGTCTACATGTGAGGATATAGCATATAGTGCAAATCCATCGAAGACAGTTCTAAGGCAGATGCAGCTTAGAGTCATGGACAGTGACAATCACAGACAATAAAGTGGCCTAACCTGCCCAGAGAAATCCTCTCTGAGCATCCTTCTCATTGATGTATTAGTCATATACATGCACTAAAACATGTCCAGACAAACAAACAAAAAAAAAAGAGAGAGAGAGAAAGAAACATTCTTTTCTACTTTAGTGGTTTCTCTAGCTGGGTGATCAACCACTCTCTGGTGTTGGCCTCTTCCAAACCTTCCCAATGCACTCTTCTGGAAGCCATCCTCGTCAATCTTGCACTGCTGTTGTTGACGATGGAGAACACCAAGGTGGTTTAATTGGGACGATTGCTAAGGCTAGGTTGCAGTCAGTCAATTGAATGGAAAAGGACCTTTTTTGGAAGATTCCTAGGCAAGTGGTAACGAAAGGGTGAACGAGTCGGTCAACGAAATGAAAAACAAACTGTTCAAAAATTCTTAGGCAAGCAAATAGATAGCTCGAGACATTGAAATCCATTCACAGCAAGTTATAGGTGCTCAAATGTTCTTTCCATGTGGCTTTTCTGTGGTGGACCTTCATGTCCTGCACTTTGGATGTGAGGGTTAACAACCATCAGTTGGATGCACAGCAATCCTGAATGTTATATGATGGAGGGACCAAGTATAATAAATACATATCCATATTAGATATTACAGTACCAATCCAAAGTCACATGGATACTAGGTGATCATGTCAGTGTATACCAATATTTTTCTTCTCAAGGATACTAATTGAAATATACGAAGAATCCTTCGTAACTTCCGGAATTAGCTTTCACTAAGACCCCCAAGCAAAAGCCTCCCATTGGGTCTCACATTTCTCCATCTTCTCATGGTTACTAAAGGATAACAATTATTTAACCATCTTCTCATGGTTAGTAAATAATCTATTATTTATCCATCTTTAAAGGATAACATAATTTTTTATGGTACCGGCATGCCCTCATAATAATATAACAATTATCTTTTCAAACTTCTTTCTTATAATTTGTCACTTAAATAAGTTTTCGGATCACTAAAAATGTATGTTTCTTTTACATGAATACAATTGACCAATACCAATCTATGCTTGATCTTATCTTGATTTATACCCAATCAAATACTTTGAATTTTTCTAATTGAAAAACATGCAGCATCATATGCTTTCACATACCATGTGTGCTATGAGGTGACCGCCCACATTTTGTGACAACCTTTTATAACATTGCCTTCGCTAAATGCTTTACTCCAAAGCTTCAGCTGTATACATCGGCATTGAACCTAAAAGATCTGCTGGGACCACTAGATCGATGGAGAAAACTGGTTCTGCTTCTACCGCCTATGTACTCCAACTGAAAGAAGCATCTAGGAGAAATTGACGCTTGATGAATGACTACAAGTTAGGCCTTACAGTGTTGTTGCTTTTGTTGCAAAACACAGATAAACAGAAAAAAACAAGTCACTAACGTTATGGCCAAGTATGATTATCTTCTAGGCCTCTTTCTTTGAACCTGTAGCAGTACCCAAGTCATTCCCATGGAAGGTCTACTTAGCCAGCACTTAGTAGTTACTTACCCACTACTTAGTAATCTTTTTTACATGAGCAGAAAAGCAGATGGTTACCACATAGTAGTTTTAGGTGTTATCATCAAAGCCAATTGAAAATAAAATCACAAAAACTATATCTAAAAGTACTAATAAAAAAACAAAGATAATTTTTTTCTTTTTTATCTTGAACAAGATATGTTATTGATGTCAGTCAAGGAGTAAATTAGAATACTGACTCCATCATAAAAACAATAATGCTAACAGAAGTATGAGATATTCTACTCGGAGGCTATAGAATCTATAGTATAGATGACAGTCGTATGAATAATTTTTTTGAACTTTTAGATAGAATAACAACATCTCGATCATGCCTACCATTTGACATCATTTATCCCTAGAAACAAGGCTGTCATTACCTACCATCTTCTAGGCCATTGTCTAGATAACAAAGTCAGCATCTAATATAAACTTTTAAAATTATCACCCGCTATGATTAACATTAATCAACTAAACCCACAAATTTGAGAATCCATCAGAGAACTTAAGTAATTAACACACGGTGAAATATGTTAAGCTTACCATGCCAATAATCTTGGAGAACTTTTTACGAAATAGTTTTAAGTAGGCCCACCAAACATTTAGGTTAGATCCATGAGCAGATATTTGTGTGCAAAACTGAAGTCCTACAGAGATTGATTACATAACCCTGCAAGTAAAATAGTTGAACACGTTGAAACTTGAGGAATACCGTGAAGAAGTAGAATTTTGCAATCCAAATTAGGGAAACTGACCTCCATAACCTTTTAAAGATTTGGTTTGGATGCCGAAAGATGATCCTTTATCAACTCTATCAATTGGGACATGATGGGGTTGCAATGCATTTAGAACCTTTTCAGCTGCCTTCTTGACTATCATTTTATGAGCATCCCTACTCGAGTGACCCTCCTTCCAAATTGTCTTTAGCAATTCCTTCACAAAATCCACCAAAGCAGTATGAAAAATTTTCACTGCTTTTGATTCCTTAACGTCTTCTCCTTTGTCTACTCTTCCTCATCAAGATTTGTATGAAAGATTTGTATTCTCCTTTGTCTTCTCCTTTGTCTACTCTTCCTTCACAAAATCCACCAAAGCAGTATGAAAGATTTGTATTACTACTAAGGTCTGTCTGACCTTCCTCATCAACAGTTGTACGATCAGGAGGAGCCATTCCATTAAAATAGCCACAATATTCATGCCATGATTTACCTAGCATGCCTTCATATCCTGGATCGGAAGAGTTCAAAGACTTCTTGACATTATACCCTCTGAAGCAATATAACCTAGTATATGATCACCAAGAACATGTTGACTTGACATAGTGTTCATAATCACTCTTGGAGAAACTGAAGTTAAAATCCCCACTTTGGGAGGTCCAATGCTGTCAACAAGTGGATCATATTGGCTTTCAGAGGATGATTTAATCACTGGTGATGAAAAGGTACAGAAGGCTCCCAAGTATTTTTTTCAAGTTCTGGTTTTTGCTCAGAAAAGGTTAAAAGTATTCCCAGGAATATTTTGCTGTCCAGATGTAGCACCACCAAATCCTCAACCAACGTTTGATGTTCCATGGGTATCACCATGCTCAGCACCAAATGGTGGAGAGACATAAGTTAACATTATCCCTGCTTCAGAAAATAAATGAAGCAATTCCATTCGTGGTGTACTCCAAAATGAATGAAGAGAATTGTCAAAGCTAAAACTGACAGAACTAGTTAAACCAGAACTATAGGAATCATCAAGTGGAAAATGACTTTGCTGTTACCTGGACTTTTTCCAAAAGAATAGGTGTTGTTGATATCCTTATAGACATTGGGGGCTGCAGATGATCCACCAGAGAAATAATTAGATCCTGAAGATAACAGGTATTTTGTGAAAGGCAAAGTTCTTGAACTCTACACCAGTCATTTTTTTTGTATATATTTCCTTCATTTGAGTACTGTCTTGATAGAAATTAACTACTATCTGAGTGACTATCATTGATAGAATCAAGACAATGTATTAGCCCATAAGTTCTTTGGTTTTCTTCTTGGATCAACATCCTCTGCTTTGACTTATCAACTGCAGAATAAGATGTCCTATTGCCGCATGAAACATCAACTTGAAAATGTTCTTTAGAAGAGTTCTTTGATGCAAGCAAGTTATCATCATTCCTAAACTGAGCTAGTCCATGGATCTCCCCACCGCAGGTCCGGATAAGGGACATCTGTAAAAGAAGATTTGATTTTCTTGAATTCTCCACATTTGATAAGTCTATCAAGCCAAGTGAAGCAGATACACTTATTTTTTCAAACTTTTCTGGTGAACCTGGTAATTACGTGGATGCTACTGGCAAGTTTTCCTCCAACTAATCTTTAAGACGAAATTCCACAGCGAAAGATATTCTGATACCTTGCAATCAATGAAATCTCCACTAGTAGCCCAATCTTCCTTGGCAACTTGACAAGTGCAGCCAACCCCATCTTTCTCGTGAAGAAACTTACAAGAATTTCCCTTGATGCACCAAACACTAGCAAAAAAAATTGCATATAACGGCAGGCCTTTTTTGTTCACACTCTCATGCTCGGTACCAGGTAATGAGCTCCTTAGTCCCCTTTGTGGCTGAAAAAGAAGAATGGATTATAACATGATTATATGATATGCAGATAACCTGAAATAGAAAAAGCAAACGAAAGATGTATATAGAAACAACCTAACATATTGTGAACTATGAGTTCTAAATAGGGTCATAAGGAGTAGGCATTACAAATAGCATTATCCCCAACCATAATACATTCAATTTCTCTGGAGACGAACATTTTTAGTGTGAAACATCTGATGCTTCCTTTTCCATGTAATAATCAGATTTCTTACTACTAGAATCAGTCTTCATGTTCTTTGCAGCAGAATTGTCCTCATGGACATTAATAAATTTAATATCCATGACAGTAACAGTGTCAACAGAAACCACTACCATGAGCTTCAACATTATACTGCTAAGAATAATCAGGGATCGGAAACCTATTTCAAAGTGGAAAATGGTGTTCATCCAGTCCGTACCTGCCATCTTCATCACTTATTCCAGATGTCATTTTGTTTTGTGACCGAGATGGACAATTGTTGTCAAGGTTGTCATCCTCAACATCTTTGACACAAAAATTCATTGAATTGATGTATGATTGCTCGGGGCTGAAAGAAACTGACTTCAGCTCCCTGCTTTTTGCTAATATCTAGATGAAAGAACGGGAAATTCACAATGATGAAGAACCACCAATCATCATCAACGGGACTAACTACAAACAAGAAACCAACTCCCAAGAGAGAAAATATAGAATTTTCAAACTTAACTGAGATTATTGTGGTTTCTTGGCTCCTAATGAGAAAAAGGTGAATTTTATACTTTTTAATAATGTATTTTAAGAAAATTGATTACATGTTATAGGCACATTAAAAAAAATGCTACCTTGGCATATTTATCAACCCATTTCAAATTACTAACATTCAGCAGCAATAGTAAGATCAGTCGAAGTAGATGGCAAGATGAGAAGATATTTTGGATATGTAAGAGTTGATACATGGAATAACTTCTGATCTGATTTATAATTATCCGAAACCAAAGATATTTTGGTTACTTACATCAAGTCAAACTTGTTTACAGGGGTGCACCTATAGAAGCACAGATAATAATGACAACAAGCACCTATACAAGTTCAGAATAAGGGATCAAAGACCGGTTGGACCAGTACGTACCAACTGATATCTGGTCCAATCGACAACCAGCACCGGACCATCTAGGTCATACCAATGAGTATGTAATTTTTTTTCCCGGTGATACCGACGTAAGCCTGGTATATCGGTACTGCATAATTCAGACCAGTTACGAAAACCCGATTGGTCCAAAAATTCATCCCAAACCAGATTTGTGCCCCTACAGCCCCAGTTAGGGTTTGCATCTGCCACCGTGCCTACCATTTGAATGCTAACTCTTTAATCTGTAAAGCCTAACAAAATGCTAACATAGCAAAGATAAATCCTTGGTCCAAGAGTTCATCCCAAACCATATTTCTGCCCTGCAGCCCCAGTTAGGGTTTGCATCTGCCACCGTGCCTACCAATTTGAACGCTAAGACAGGCCAAGGAGCAGTAATTAAGAAGAAGAAGAAGAAACGAATTCGTAACACACTTAGCAAAAGTATAATATAAACTTTAATAGGAAAGATAACAGATCGGTAAAAGAACAAACCATCTTGGTCTGGTTCAGATAAATAAGCGCTTCCCACCTGCATCGCCGCGTCTTCCTCCTCCCCCAATTCACCATCGCCTTTCCTCTCTTGGGCATCCCCAACTGCTACGGTGGCGACGACGACGGACGAAACGAGGACAATGTTGAGGCGAAGGCAACAAGGTGATTTTAACAGGACTTGTAAGGAGTTTAATTTTCGTTTTTTCTCTTTTAGGTGAAATTTTATGAGAGCGGAAGTCAGACAGCAGAATGTAAAAAGTAGGATGAAATAATTAATCGGATCGATTCAAATCATATAGTGCTCCATTTTCTAATTGTTTTAGAAAATTAGATGAATTAAAATTCGACGATGTCGCTTAATAATATAAAAAACTGAATCAAGCAGCTGCACCCTCATTCATCGCAATAGAACACAAGCGGAAGGAGTAAATTGTTATCATGTCGATCGAGTGAATTGGATCGATCCACCGTGCGATCCCGAGCTCATCATTTGAACATCTCGTGCAAAATGCGTCCTCGACGATTTGCTCGTACAACTTCAACCAAGACATTAATTGATGAAGAAAGTTGTTGATGGCCCGTCGTTACCTCACAGCTTATCCGCTGCTTAACGTACGTACGTACCTCAGCTCTAATGAAGTTTATAATACAGAAAATATACAAATATAACATGGTTGATGATGCTTAAAGAGGATGATTTAGCATGGTTAGCTCCAAAAGAGAAGGGTTAACCATCAACACAGAGATAAACCATTTACAATAATTCCAAAAACTGGAGAACAGCAACTTCCATCCAACCTACCGACTGGATCAGCACTACATTGCTGGGAACAGCGGAAGATGCAGTCTCTGGCAGATATCTTGACATCGATACTTGTATACTCCTCCAAGTGTCACTTACCACAAGGCAGCAGATTTCCATGTACCGTCACATATATTTGTTTTGGTTAGATCAAGTACCATGCATGTAAAATAGCCCATCAGGTGATCCCAACCATGTACCCCAGCTATGGGTAGGAAAATATGAATACTCGGAGCAGCACTCTAATTGCTTACGTGATTTTTGTTTCCCTGCGATAAAAAGATTATAGCTGTAAACAAGCACACATCATATATATTAGAAACCAAAATTTTACAAGGTGGTGGGAGAACAACCATCAAACTCATTTCCAGTTTTTGGCCAGCAAACCGTTGTGAGTATCGAGTCCGAGACTTTCTCCCCAAATATAAGCTCACCGTTCTTGATGCTCCATATGCGCAAAAAGCAGTCCTCCCCACCTGCCATGAAGTTGTTGGAAGTTGACCTCTACTTGAATGGCTAATAACCCAATACCAACCAAAAGACAATGTACCCGATATAAGAAATGTTTCAGATGGGTTCACTCCAAGTTGCAAACGGGTGTGTGAATTCACATGTCCTGCGTAAGATTGGACTGATCCTCTTTGAAGAAGACGGCAGTCAAAGAGTTTGATCTGCATCAATACCAAGTCAAATGACCTTTTAAAATTAACAGCTTCACTAACAACATTGTTAACACATGGATGAACGGAAAGTAGATGTGCAGTCTGTACACAAAATAAGATAGATTGCTAAGATAAATAGTGTCCAAGAAAAAGCCAATTAAAAGCAACCCAAAGAATCAGTCATGATATAAGCCTTTCAGTGAACATAAAGGTAGAAATGCCAATGGATGTTAGAAAAGTCTGTACTTAATAAAGCTATCTAAAGATGTTCAAGAGCTTCTCTATTCCTTATCTTCCTAAATTAGCCATCCTAAGGGAAAAGGGGGGTTTTCCCTTAGCAGAAGCCAAAAAATGTTCTCTTTCCCTTTTGGGCAAAGGGAGGCACTGTTGCCCTTTTCCCACACATAAGACTTTAGGAGATGCAGGACTTGGGAGTAAGGGACAGATGCAGAACAAGGGGCTGATATGTCATAACAAATGTAAAATCAGGTGTTTCATTTCTTTCTTGAGTCTAAAAAAATGTTTTCTATTGCATAATAGAACTTCATTTAACCTAATATTTCTTAAGAGTAATTTCCTGGGTAGGTGCATACTGCTGCACTGCTCCACCCCCTTTTTTTATTCAACCCCCTTGGGATCTGATTTGGCAGTCACCTCATGGTTCTGGCGATGCTGTCAAGCCTCTATACCCATCCATCCAATATGTACCTATCTTTCTACATATCAAGTTGAACTTGTCAGTACACCCTTAACAATGGTGTTTTGCCATTACAAATCCCCGAGCAGATCAGGATGTGTAACCCAAGGATGAGATTAATATGGAAAGTGGGAGTGTGCAATTACTAATGGGTATACTTCGAATGGTGGCTAGGAAAAAGTCAGCATATGCAGTTGCTTCCGCTTTCCAGTAAATCCCGCAAAACGAAATCCAAAATGGTGCATTCTAAATTTTATTATTTGGCAAACAGTTATATGACATGAACAGAACAAAATGATTATTTCAAATTACACAACAAATTACCTAAAGTAACTCAGAATATGGGCATCACTAATACATACTTTTTATACAAAGTAGTGAAAAGAACTCACAGATCCATCCATGGAGCTAGCTAAAAAATAGTTATCATCTGATTGAAGTGCTACCAAACTGCAGAACACGATTGGTTTAATTTAGCAAATATGCAACTGAACATGCAAAGAACCTGTACATTAAAGAAAGACAGTACCTGCAAACAGCCGAAGACATGAAGACAGCATCAGATGAATTCAAATTTCTACCAAGCTGTAAGCAAACACTGTTCATTTTAATGGTTTTTTACACAAAAGTAACCTCTGTAAAACAATAGCTAAAAAGGATTCAAGAAACCAATCCCATATCTTTGTCTATATCAGATTAGTAGGAAAAAGTCTTAACACTGAGTACAACAAAAACAAAACTTGGTGGCACCATGTGATGCTTCTAACTCCCAGCTTAGTAATTTTAGGGATAAATACCATGATATTCTTTGTGATCTCTTTAACCCTTATTTATGTTTAAGATACGCTTATCTGAAGTACCTTATGCCTTGATTGTTTTTGCCGAATATCAACTGATATAACTGCTCCATTTCTTTGCCCACATAGAACAACATTTCCCTATATCATGTAAATGAAAGGACATTAAATAATTGTCAATATGGCATGATACTTGAGAGATGTAAGATAAGGATTAGGCTTAATGGGTGCAAAAATCATATAACTCCATGAACAGAACTCTTGCATACACAATTAATAGAATCCAATTTAAAATACTGGCTTCTGGGTTAGCAATTCAAATTCAAAATAAGAAAATTTTATGCACTTTATAATTTCTAGGGGAGAGAGAGCATAAAGAGGACCACTAGAAACTATATCCAGCCATCTAGTGCTCAAACACTGCTGAACTTGGGTGTTTGAATATGTAAGTTTTATATGAAGCTTTCTTTCACAATGTCGAGCAGTAAAGTATAAGTTTGTTAACAAAGAGTTCAGATAAAGTGTGTTGTCGAACATTATCTGAAGAAAGAACAATAGTAGCTATAAATAATATATAATTATGCACTTAATACTTGTATGATTTTAGAGCATATCTATATATCTATGTTGTGTGCTTGAGCATATGCTTGCATGTAGGATGCATATGAAGTCTTCAAACAGAACATTTAATTAGAAACTGACTAAAAAACAAGAAGTTGTAGTGGTATGGGTAATAATGAAACTGAAATGACAATAAATAAGTTATTTTAATCTTTCTGCATCCAATTTTAATGTTTTGATTCTAGATCCAACTTTCAACTAAAATGACTATATCTGTGCCATTTTATTTATTCAGTCCGTTGTCCAGTATAGTTACAATGGAGAAAATGGAGCTACTACCGAACCTTAAGCATCTCTTGCAATAGATCACACATTCTTTGATGAGTTGACACTACCTCATTACATCACTCAAAATAAATTCTAAACCATTTACCACGATTATGCAGGCACCTACAAGAAAGATCTTAATACAAGCATAATTGTGAAGCAAACCATTGGTAAGAAATTATTATCTCCATAATAAAATCAAAGTTGAAACTATACTTTTTGTGAACTTGTGCAAATTATTTTTTATTTAACAAATGACTCATGAGAGGAAAAAGAAAAAGATTCACTAAAGCAACAGATCTTGATACCGAATGAATAAACTGTTGCGAAAAGACATCACTTCGACTACGGTAGAACCATGACACCTCTTCGGTTTCTAAGTTTATCAATGTAGCTCCAAGATTAGTACCTAGGCAAAGAAACGATAGAAAGATGAGACATAATTTGGGGAAACTATATGTGCATCCAAAGAATCAAGCAATAACAATGCAAATTTATAAGATAAAAGTACATGTTATCTCCTACAAAAAAGAATCGAGCAATAGACAATACAAATTTATAGAATAAAAGTACATGTTATCTCCTACAAAAAGGAATGAAGGATACCTCAAATAAATAATGGATGGGCAAAAAGAGTGAACTGTTTCATCATGATTAATAAATCTAGTATTTAGAACTGCGGCAAGATCCTGATGGATTTATTGAATAACAATGTCCAATAGATGAATGGAATCACCAAACCATGAGAGCACTGGTCAAGTAGGATTTTCATTTTATTACAGCATTTGTTTAAATTAACTTACATATGGTGCTTGATTTCACATTGCTAATTTGACTTAGGCATCTATATTCATGGATGTTTCATACACATAATATGACTCCACATAGTCACCATGGACTATACTCTCTCATAACCACCAAGCACAGACACATAAAAGCTTTAATCACTCTCTTGACTAGACTATCATTCCCAAAAATCTCGTACCTTCTTTTTAACCAGTACAACAAAATATGATTCTCCATTCCTTTCTTTATATTGACAAGGATCAATACCAGGTTACGATGGAATTAACATACCTAGAAAAATCTTAATCTAAAGATTTACAGCTTTATACAGGAATATATGAAAATTACAAAGTGCATAATAATAAAGGACAAAAAGATAAATTATACGATTATCTTAATGGTGAATGAATCTAATAAACCCATTTCTGAATCAGAACAGTTCTCAATCTGCAAAAAGTCACCTATAAACAAAAGGAAATTATGATACATAGAACTTTTTGAGAAAGCTGGATAATAATCTGAATGACATGCTAAAAGTTAGTTTCAAGTTTCTATAACATACAGCAAAACCTAGATTGATGATATCAGATGCCACAGAAAACGAGGCAGAAATCTAGATTTGCTTTCTTTTTGTCTCCTTATCTCCCAACCAAGTAGCACCAAATATAGTCATTTTTTCATATTCCTTAATAAGGAGGTTAAATGGATTAGCTTGTAGCTGGAATCTTAAGTAGGTCATGGATTATCGTATGAGCAGGTTGAACTGACTTGTTATGACTTGTTCTCTGGCATAAATTTTAATTGATATATCATCACAATTAGCACTCAAGGCTTGTCCACTTGCTCTGGCAAGGTATAGAGTAAAAAGGTCACATTTTATGACCCTTTATATAGAAGACGATAATTAAAAATTACAAATATAAATTCTTTTAGGATACCTATACACCAGTTACCATTTCCATACATAGTACTGCAAGGGTTTTAGTTCCACCCAATCCTGCAATTGACCCCATTTTCTGCACATGTTGTACCAGACTAACCAGAACGTATATATAAAAAAACTTGCTTCACCAGCAGAATTCTGCAAAATATTTGTTGTGAAATTCTGGAACTTCGATAGATTGGACCTCTGACTTTCACCATTCTTTTTATGCGATGCCTTAATCATTATACAGCCTTATTGGTCATAGTTTAGCAAAACAGAGGCCAATGTACTTTAGATCCACTGTCTTGGACAAAAACTCATGTCTAAAATGTCAAAATAGAGTTTCTATTATTAAAAACTACACCTCTCCCGCAACTATCATTTACTACTGGTGTCAAAAGCAAAGCTATTTGGAGTGTAGCACAAACAAAATTGGGTGCACTGCTAAATTCAAATCATCTCTTGTAATAGGCTTTTGTTATCCCTGGTTTTATCACCATCAAACTGGATCTAATGAAGGGGGAAAAAGATTGTGGATATATTTTATGTTTCAACATACTAATTTGCTAGACAGTGTTCTGAAGTCTGGTCTTTCGCACACATGCATACATATTCAATTTCATCAAAAGATATTCCTATTAATTTTATCTGACATACCAAAAAGTTACAGTGTGAAACATGGTTATTATTATGTTTTACATGATGTAGAACCTGTAACTCAATATAACTCAAATATATAATAATGCATGACAATGAGGAGAGACAAACTCACCAATCACTGCTTGTGTCCCATGTGAATTACAATCAGCAGTCCATATTGTGCGATCGAATGATGCAATCTGTGAAATATGGCTAAAAAGGCTGCCAGAACTTAAAATTAAATCTAGAGGTTCATGTAGATTCAGAATATAGACAGAACCACCAGCTGCTCCTGATCCAAAAGTGGTCATCATGTGCAGTGTCAAGGAACACAAATGTGATCATAGTTAATAATTTTGGGTAGGGAAAAAAAGGACACCAGATAAGACAAACAGAATGCGATAAATACAAAAGTTGGTTTGGATACAAAGCATGGCGAAAGGAAGAACCATCCTGAGTGGTATCAGAAAAATTCCCACTAAACTTCTTTATGCAGGAAATACTGGATGAAAAACCTGGAAGAGACTCTGCCAAGCACCATATACCAGCAATTCCAGAATCGTCACATGTTTTGGGATTTCTCACAGACCAAATGGGCTTTGGTATGCACTCAAACCGATAATCAAAATATTGGCTGACTGTTGCAACTTCATACAGACTGTAAAAGGAAAGAAACAACAATAAAAAGAATCCATTGAGACATACTTAGAAATGGGGACAACTCAAAGTAACAAAAATTGTGATGCTAGTAGCATTTAGGACCAAAATTGTCACATCCCAGATTTATAAAAATTAAAACTATTATTTCAATATTCATAATTTACAGAAGACTTTTTGTTTTATTTTTTAATTCAAATTCTTATCTTTACAACAACAAAAAAAAGACCACATCTTCTCAGTAGGACCACAAGTGATGAAAAAATCTCTTCCACCTAAGCCTCATATCTACTACAAAGTAGCAGGTTACTTTGCAAATAAAAATAAGATAAAAACACAACAACAACCATACATGTTGATAGGAACCTCCAAAAAATCATAAAAATAATTTTAATATTTGTGAAACATATACAAATATCAATAATTTAATATAAAATGATAACATATCAACTTATGTATCAAAAAAATAATGATAATCTTATGCAGTAAACAAAATCATACATTAGTTACATGCAATATATCTTGATGATATTCATAACAATTAATTAACAAAGGCGTACATCACACCCAATGGTACACTCTCCCAACAATAGATGAAAAGACATACTCCACAAGATGAATTCCTCCCAACGACGGATGGAGAGAACCCATATCGCATTCCCAACAACGGATGGAGTGATATCTTTTACCTGCTCAAGTGGAAACACGTTCCTCCCAGCAACAAATGGAGGAATCGTCTAACCGTCACGTCTAACGACTTGCTATTCCCCGAAAAGAATCGCCTTACTTGCCTTTGACAGGGATACATAAACAACCATGATCATTCATTTATATTCATTCATTCACGCATGTATCCAAGAAAATATTATGAGGAATTATACTTGATGTATGATCTGCTAGACTATGTTCATTGATGGCTCCACATTATGATAGACCCATAGTTCCTTTCATAGGTTGCACTTCCAATATGGACCACTGGTATAGTCACATATACTACATGGTAACAATGACATCAATATCATAAAATTAAAAAAAGTATAAAATCAATAATCATTTTCAAATAATACCTTTAGATGAAACTTTTAAGTTTATCAAATTATAAAGATATGTGGTATCCGTCTTTCAATAGTCCTCAATTAACTAGAACCCTAATTGAAATAGTCCAATTGACTTGAACCAAATTCAATTCAATTAGGACCTAATGGAACCTAAAGGGAGAGGAAATTAGACTGTCATATAAGGTACAATGGGCTAGATAGAGAGACGACAATATGTCTAATGTCAGTCACATGGCTGGGCGAGCCTAGCATCGCGGGTTGGGTCGTGCATAAACATATAAGTTGGGTCATGCCTGACCACATAGACTGAGTCGTACTTGGCTAAATGGGCTAGACCATGTCTAGCCACATAGGTTGGGCCCTACATTGCCACATGAGTTGGCACCTACCTGGCCACATGGGCTAGGTCGTACATGGTCACATGGGCTAGGCCATACCTAGCCACATGGGCTAGGTCGTACATGGTCACATGGGCTAGGCCATACCTAACCACATGGGATGGGTCGTACATTACCACATGGGTTAGATTATACCTGACCACCTAGGTTGGGCTGTACTTAACCATAAGGGTTGGGTCGCCCAAGTCTGATAAATCAACTTGACTCGGGTCAGACCTTAGTTAGACTCCTCTTATTAAATTAGATTTCAATATTTTAAATTATTAGAAAGTAACTCAAATCCATCAATTAAATAATTTAAATTCATGGTATTAAATTTAAAACTAATTAAATAATAAAAATGTACACATAATTCTTGAAACATAGATAATATCTAATTAAATGAATTAAAACTATTATATTAATACAAAAATAAGAATTTTAATAATTAAATCAATCTTGAAATTCATTTAAGCTTAAGAGACCATTATAAGTCAAATAATCATTGTAACATCACAAATCAATTATCATTATTTATTAATCATAAAATTTTGAAATTAAAACATTATTATACATCATTAAATTATAACAATCCTAATATCAAATATCCTAAAACATGAATCAAAACTGATTAAAAAAGAATAAAATTATTTCCTCAAGATCATTTCCTCGAAGAATCCTCTCTTCAATCCTCCCACTGTCAGGCTTGATGAAGAATGAGGGAGGAGAAACCCCTTTATATAGGAGAAGATAAGATCTCCCCGAAAAGTAAGCAATAATTTACTTTTTATTTTTAATTTATTTTTATTTTACTTTCATATATAAAGATAGAAATATAATATTTATTTCTTATGGTTCACATACAAAAATGGAATTTGAACTATTTACTATCTACAAATCACATCACTCATTAGAAAATAAAACAATTAATAATTTAATTGATTGGCAAAATTCTTAGCTTGTCCACATAATTAAGGAAATCATAATTATTTCCCTAATCATATTACACAGACAAGAATGTTAATAATTTAGATAAAGTAATATATTATTTATGGTAATTAATTTATATTAAGGGAAAAAATTATTGGTGATTGCAAAAATAGAAACTGAAAAAAAAGATGTAAAATCCAATTCAACATATATGTCACAGTATTTTTTTCTAACAAAATATGTCATGATTTAACTTAAGGAGGTTCATATACAAGTACATTCTAGAGAAGGAATATACTTGATCATACGATTGAGTTGCATGGCATATTAAAAGAAGGAACTTTCCTCTCGAGTGTTGAACATGTCACAACACAATCACAAATTTCATTATTAATGTCATGGACTGGTATTTGCTAGCGACAACATAACATGGAGGAAGTTAATTAATATAGATTGGTCTGACATCTTTTTCAATCCAATAATGCTCCTATGGGAACATAAAAAATGTATCTAATCAACTCATCTTGATAAATAAATTGACTGCAATTCCAATATATTGTAATGGGTGAACTAAGTCGTAGGTGCTTCAATAGATTTTGTTATTCAAGAAGCCACTGACAGAAGCAATAATAACAATTATAAAAAGTAATAAATTGGTAAGATGGAAAAAGAATCTTTTAATGACAACTAATTGTTTACGGTTTGTTTCCTTAAACCAAAAAAGAATGAGAAAGAAAAAAACACAAGGATTAAGGTCATCAATAGGATGTGTTACATAATGAGTCATGATAAACAATAACAGAAATAATAAACACAACAAAAAGGTCTATGAAGTTGTTCAATATAACACAACATGAATGAATGTTTAGACAACGTCTGTACGTAATGAAACCTATGAAGAAAGTTGGCTACAGTCAAAATCTGGTAGAACAGGAAGCTCGTTTTAAGATTACATGGTCCTGCTTCCTATCCTTGCCTTAGCAAGTCAATTTCCAGAATAATTCACTTACCAAACTTCCATAGTAAAATAATTCAATTAACACAAAAAATAAAATAAAATGGTAGCAAGACTCATGCAACATCCCAAAAGCTTAACCGTAAGCATTTTTCAGCTTCCAAAGTATTCTTACCTGATGTAACCAGTCATACTACCCATTGTCAAAAATTTTTGCAACTGCAAACCTTTGGGTGTTTGAACAATACCATGTAGTTGCTCCAATGCACCATCGGATACACCAACCGTGTTTTGATATTTCCACACCTGTTGTATTTGTCAAAACAAACAAACTAATATCAATAGAGGAAAAAATAAATAAATAGCAACAAGAACAGCAAAAACAAACAAATGCATAAACATATAACAGTTGTATTGTGGCAACAAACTAAACAAACTTCATTGCAACCAAATAAAAATCATGCACAAGAATGATGAACAATTTTGCAGTAGCTATAAACTTTGTGAATCAAGGATTGACATTGATGTGCACAATGACATGCTGAGACCTCTTGATAGAGTATGGCATTATGTCAATCTTCATGCTCCTATGCTTATCAACAAACCAAAAATTGCTTAGTCTTATGCCAATGCCTATGGAAAGAATTGGCAACATGTTTTTTGATTTTTTTTGACATGGTACATCGTGCCCCATGTCCCATGCTAATCGGAACACAACATGGAAAAGTTGAACAGAATATGATGAATTAAAAATTGCCAAACAGCATTCTGAAATGTGCTAGCTTCATTGGCATCTCACATCTTGATGGGAAATTTTGTGCCAGTTTCCATCTAACATTGAGTGTGCTAGCAACAACTGTCCAAAAGATTGTTGACGCTCACCATTAACATGGAATAAGACACGATGTAAATTTATCTTGGCCTCTTGGGTGAGTGCTGTGAATTCAAATGATAAGGGGCATGTGATTTAAAGGCATGATTAATTGAACAAAATTCATTCAGGTAGGTTTGCTAACTATACATTATGCTACATAAATTCTTCCATCTTTCATTAAGAAAGATGTAATCACAGAGAAAAGAAAAAATTTTAATAGGTTCACATCCAGAAACATTCTAGATTGTTTGCATCAGGTATTAGACAACAGTAGAATCTATCCAGAAGTGTTTGCAATATCCATATTAAATGCCTAACAACCTATCGAGCTGTCTTTTCTCTAAATGTCAACATGTTCATTAACTGCCTGAACAACATGAATAACAAGTCAAACATGACACAATCAGCATAGTATTGTGCCAGTCGCTTCCCTAAGATGACCCATGAGCTAAAAAATGTTGCTGCTAGCAATGGGTAAAACCTTTCTGTAAAGCACACTCAGCAATTTATTTATCAGCCACCAACCTTAGCCCCATGCACATACAAGACTTCGAACAGTTGCATCCATATCATAAAAATTTTCTTTGATCAGGCAACCTTCACCAATATACCTAGCCATTTCTAGGAGAAAGCAAGCTATGGTTATGTTTTTCATTAGATTTCTGAGGATGATGCCTGTAAATTGAATATTGATTTGAAAAAAATAAATAGAAGTTGCTAAAAAAAAAAAGAGGTACAACAGAATTGCATAAATGGTTGGGAAAAGAAGAAACAGTAAGTGTCCAAATTACCATGGGATAAGAAGCTTGCAGCTTTTGATACTCTTGTTCAAAATTACATCTGTATTTATTTGAAACAATAGATCTACCATGTATCTCCCTAACTTGAAGCAGCTCAGAAGATTTTAACAGCTTTCTTCGGCTCGCTTGGTGCATTTGATGATCCTGGAGATCATTAAAAATTCATTACTTCATTCCATGTCTCACACTATCTTCTAAACAAAACCACATTATTTAAATCTAAAATAAAAAAATCAACAAAACCATGGATGTAACTGTAAAAATATCATAAATATAAATTACAAAACTAGGAGATGTAATTCTTGGATAAATTTATTTACATTTCGTAATCATATCAGCCAAGTAACAAGTATATTCTACTTGTTTCCTTGAACGGAGACGAATACCACACATTTATGTGGTATAAACTACCTCATTTGATCCAAGAAAAAGAAACCGCAATCAACCTGATATGGATTGGAGAACTCCCCATTAGTAGCCCGTTTTGATGAAGAACACGAAACCGAGGAGGAAACCAGCGGACGCTTCGAGCCAGGAATGGGACCTTTGATAGGGAAGTAGCGATTCTTCTCCACGTCGTAATAGAAGCCGGGAAGATCTAAAACCAGCGCCTCACATCAGCGAGTAAAGATGGAGCAAGAAGCATGGTTAGGGATGGAGTAAGGGTTCGTCGTTTTACCTTTCGGGGGCATGGCGCTATCAAGAAGCTGACGACTCCGTGGGAGATTGGTATGCGCAGCCTGCCAGAGGAGGAGAAGGCGGCAGGTCTTTCTCCCACCGCCGTGCCCTTCGACGAACCGTGTGGCGGTCGATTCCGTCTGGACACGGAGGCGCACCCTTTGGGGATTACTGCTTTCGCGTATCTATCCCCATCTTTTAATTTAATGGCATCTTTGCCCTACAAATTTAAAAGAAAAACTCGAGTTAATGAGTAATGTTAAAATTTATAATAAAAAAATTAAATACTTCGATTTTCCTTTATAGAATGATTTTTTTAATATATATATATATATATATATATATATATATATATATATATATATATATATATATATATATATATATATACCCTTTTAACTTCAAAAATAACATGTTTGTTCCTCCAAATTTTAACAAATATTTTTAGATATAAAAATCTTTTATATATGCCATTGATGTTAATACTTGTTCTAAAGAATTTAATTAATACTACCAACCATAATTATCATTGAATTTGAAAAAACATTAAATATTTAATTTTTTTTATTACTTTCATCTTGTGTATTACAATGCTTTTATGGTCATATGAATTTTAAAATAATATTTTTAATATATAAGACATTTTATTACTTTTACTTTCCAACTTAAAAAAAACCATATTTGTTTCATTGAATTTTAATATATCTTTTAAATATTTAAAAAATTTATATATGTCACTATCCCTTTCTACTGTGTGAACTATCATTTTTTTATTTAGTAATAATGTTAACTTAAGTTTAAATTTACTATGCTAATAATTAAGTATTAATAATGTTAATTTAAGCTTTGACACTATTACCCTAACAATCATGGGCAATTCATCCCAAAAAAACATTTCATAATCACCTTTTGTCATAAAATGACTCTCTATTAAAAAAATATATATACTACATGACACTTTTTTTCCTCCGGATACATGTACTGTAATTATCGATAATTTCTTTTCTCCCTTAACATAAATAAAATTATCTTAAATAATATATCATTTTATTTAAATTATTATTTTTTTATAGTATGATTAAGTAAATGATTAAAATTAATTTCCTTAATCATGTGGATAGATTAAAAATTTTATCAAATCAATTAAATTATTAATTTATTTATTTCCTAATGAGTCATAGGTTTTAGAAAATAATAGTTCAAAATTTATTTTTTTATACGAGTCATAATAAATAAATATTATAATTGTATCTTTATATGTGAAAGTAAAATTAAATTAAATTAAAAATAAAATTATATTATTATTTATCTTACGAGGAGAGCTCATCCTCATGGCTCTGCTCTCTGGTTCTTGATCAAGTCTCGTATGAGATGATTAAGGAGAAGATTTTTCGAGAAGATGATTTAAAAAGAGGTAGGATCCTTCATTATTTTATCATCTAATTTGTATTTATATATTAAAATATGTGATATTAGAATTATTATAATTTGTGTAATGCATAATAATATTTTATTTTTTTAAATTTTATTATTAATAAATTATTATTATCAGATTATGATGTTAAAGTGATTAGTTAATTTGATAGTAATTCTAATTCATTTAACTAGACATATTTATATTTCTAAGAATTATGTATGAATTTTTATTATGTAATTATTTTTAAAATTGGAATCATAAATCTAAATTAGTTAATTCATGAAAAGAATGGATTTGAGGTTTTTTATTATTTTATAATATTTTTTAAAAAAATTTAAAATATTAAAATCTAATTTAATAAGATACATCAAATTGGGGCTGAAGTTAAGTTGATTTACCATACTAATTCATATGGTTAGGTACAACTTAGCATATGTGGTTAAGTAGGTCATGTATGGTCCAACTCATATAGTTTAGCATGATCCAAACCATGTGGTCAAATATGACATAGCTCATGTGGTCAAGTACAACTCAGCTCATGTGGTCAGATATGACCTAGACCATGTGATTAGATATGATACAACTTATATAGCCAAGCATGATTCAACTCATATGGTTAAGCACGATTCAACACATGTGATTAGACACGACCCAACTTATGTGATCAAGCATGACCCAAGCTATATAACTAAGCACAATCCAACCCGTGAGCCAAGCATGACCAAGTTCAGTAGTAAGACTTAGCCTAAATCGAGAATAAGGTTCAACCCATCCCATAAAGCTAGGCTCATCCAACTATATGACTATATCACCCACGTATCCAACTCACTATATCTCAGCCCAACCTACTACTTAGGACAAGCATGTGTAGCACACAGGACTTGTATAAGGCTTAGGTAGGTCAATCTAGTCCGAACTAGCATCATATGACATTGTCTAATTTTCTCGATCTTTTTTTGTTTAAGCTCATTAGTTGACTCAATAAAAAATGTTTAATCAATTCAAGCCAATTAAGAGTGATTCCAGACCAATTTGATGAATTTAAACTTATTTGACATAATTGAAACTAATCAATTCAAATTAAACCAATCTAATGATTTGTTCTATAAGAATTTAAGGTCGAGTATAACCTATAAAAGAAATTATAGATCTATCCTTATGCGAAGTCACCAATAGACATAGTCTATCGGGTCATATATTAAGCATAATCACTCATAATATTTTATAATACTATTTGTTGAATGCATAAATGAATCGATGAGTTAATATAAATGAATGATCATAATTGACTATGTATCATTGCCGAGGACAAGTAAGATAATTCTTGTTGGAGATTAATGAGGCGTGAGACGTGATGATTAGAACGTAGCACTATTTAGATAGGTAAGAGATACCACTTCTTCGGATACTGGAAGTGAGATATAGGTTTTTTTTATCTATTTTTGGAAGAAATTTATATCATAAAATATGACTCTTCATTCATTATTGGAAGAATATAATATCGAGTATGTTATACGTCTTTGTTATTTGACAATTATATATGTCATCGAGATATATTGCATATAACTGAAACATAATTTGTTTACTATATAAGGATTATCATTATTTTTCTAATATAAAATTGATATGTTATCATTTTTATATCAAATTATTGATATTTATATATGTTTTACAAATATTAAAAAATATTTTTATCACTTTCACACACACACATGATTGTTCATCGTGGCTTCGGTGAGGTAAAACCCGACACAGCTGTTTCTTATTTTGGTTTGTTTTCGATTGGAATGAATGGAATGTAATGGCTCCAATCGTTGGTAATGTCTGTGGTTAACTCCTTTTCCTAATTTTTCTTAGAGATTAATTAGGCTAATTGATTGATCCAGAAACCGCACGTAATCAGCAGCTAGTTACTATGGATCACATCCAATCTGCATACTCCGTCAACGCACCGTTAGCCAACCTTCCTGACTTTTCTCAATCCTCCCGATATTTCACCGCCATTTTCTTTTCTCACCTCGTCCCCGTGCATGCATGCGCACATCGACGCATCATTACGTGCGTACGCCCCTGCACACGCCCCTGCACCATGCAACAGTTAGTGATAGCAGCACCAAGCTCTCACGCCAAGTGGTGGCCTCCTCCCCGAACCGCCCGCCATTTGTACGGCCTCCGCACGCAAACTTCGCCGCCCACCTACTCTTCCCTCCTCTCCTCAAATACTGCTGGAAGCCCAAACTCGGAGGCAGAACATATATCATATGTGGTCAGGCTGGCAGGCACTCGCCGTCCACGTAGTCCCTTTGCATGGAAGCCGAAACCCTTTCCCCTCCGCTACTAGTACCCTCCCCTGCAAAGGAAACCGTCCGATTCGCTGAAGCGACTTTGAGTATGGCCAACATCGTCTGTGCGGAACGGCACCGCCTGTGCTGCGAGAAAAGAGCTCTGTTGAATCTGGACCTGCCTCCCAGGAGGCTGCTGCAGCGCCCAGGCCTCTCTGTCGTCCTGCCAGAGGAGGAGGACGAGGAGGAGGACGGCGGCGAGGGGTCGGTGGATGAGGAGGTGGACGTGTACTCGAGCGACGAGTTCCGGATGTACGAGTTCAAGGTCCGGCGGTGCATGCGTGGCCGGAGCCACGACTGGACCGATTGCCCCTTCGCCCACCCGGGTGAGAAGGCGCGACGCCGCGATCCCCGGCGGTACCACTACTCGGGCGTCGTCTGCCCCGACTTCCGCCGCTGCGGCTCGTGCTCCCGGGGGGACGACTGCGAGCTCGCCCATGGTGTCTTCGAGTGCTGGCTCCACCCGGCGAGGTACCGCACCATGCCCTGCAAGGATGGTCGGCGCTGCCGCCGCAAGGTCTGTTTCTTTGCTCACTTTCCCCGGCAGCTTCGTGTCCTCCCCTCCCACAGCAATAATGACGAGAAGCCCTCAGCACCCTGTTATGGTTTCTGGTCTGCAAACGATAACTCCGTCGCCGCCGCTGCCTTCTCTCCGACGTCGACGTTGATGAGTTTTTCTCCGCCAATTTCACCGTCGGTGGGGGAACTGCAACTCTCCGGCAATGATATAAAGCAGAGGAATATGAGAGGTATCAATAGAAATAACAACCCCAGTGGTGCGATGGATTATGACGGTCTGTGTGAGGAGTTGACAAACTCATTGGAAGCCATGGAACTTTCAGCGTCACCAGTGACGAGTTCTGCAGCTGCTGCTCCCAAGGAGGTGAGGAGTCTGGGGTTGGAGAGTAACAAGAGCAGCAGCAGCAGTATGTGTTGGCCAGATCTGGACTGGGTGAACGAGCTGCTGATGTAGCTGGATGATCTGATACCAGCCGTCGAATCAAGTGGTGTTTAGATGTAGCAGTCCCTAAAGTTTTATCTCTCTCTCTCTTTTTGATTTGTTGTTGCAGCTTTTATTTGTTGTGAAGGATTGAGATTGTTCAATCATGGTGTTTCTTTTCTTTTTCTTTTTATTTCTTGATTTGGATTCTGTAGGCAGAGATGGGAGAAACCCAGTCTGATATGCCGCTGCTCTTTATCCTTGCGCTTAGTGTTCTTGTATCTGTTGAGAGAAACAAGTATGTACCCACTTTGTTCTACCTAACTAACTGATCAAGGTAAGATTGCTAAAGGTTCTTGCGGTAACATTTGATGCATTCTACACGTAGAGCAAGTTAATTGGTGCCTGGCCACTGTTATGAGACATGAGGTGCGCTGAGCTGAGTGCATCATCGTGTTCGCGCATCTATCTATGTTTACTGCTCACAATTCCGATTCCGATACCGGAGGAATATGGAAGTGTTAAAAGGCTATATCTTGAGACCCGAGAGTGACCTTTAAGTTACATGGATGGCCATGCATGCATGGCATTGTGATGTGATGTGATGAGATGAGATGAAAGTAGCTGAAAACCGGGGGGAGGTTGAGATTATGTAGGAAGGTTAGCCGGCCATGCTTTGACCGAATGTGGAGTTTGGATGTGATCCACAGTAGTTTCTGCGTGATCATTCAGGTACGGTGGGAAACGAAACGAAACGACGGGAGAAAGACATTGATTGATCTAAGAAGAAGAAGAAACAAAACAAAAGAAGAAAAGAGTGGTTTCTGCGTGATCATTCAGGTACGGTGCGAAACGAAACGAAACGACGGGAGAAAGACATTGATTGATCTAAGAAGAAGAAGAAACAAAACAAAAGAAGAAACGAGTGGTTTCATCACTGGCACTTGGAAGGTGAAACAAATCGGTCCAAGAAAAGAACTTGGAATGGGAAAGAGACGTCGTTTCGGAGAAAAGACAACCTCTTTTGTGCTCGTTAACGCGAGCAATGCTCTATAAGTAACATCGTTAGTCATCGGTTCTTTTGTAATATTTATTTTAAGACATATATTACCGCTCGCATTAACATATTACGTATAATTGATCGCATACAACTCGTGCATTATATCTTCTGCTTAGCAAACCGAAGGCACATTGTTTCATCTATCAAGAATGTTAATATAGCATGCTAAGTTTAAATGTCCTGGTCGAAGATATGGCTCATGCAGCTCTGAATGTGGATATTCATTCTGATTAGTAATTCTTATGGTACAGCAGATTCGTATCAAAGAAAACACAAGTCGCCGCTAGCTCTGGAAATTTTAGCTTGATTCACAAACCTTATTTATTGGGTCTGAGATACGTTGTTGGGCCCTTGCGCACACCTACCATGATGACTTGCTGCTGCTGTTTTGCCCTTTTCTCCCGTTCCCTCTCCTTGTTCAGCTTATCTGCTTCGGCTTGCTCTTTTCTCAGATTCTCCATCTCCTCCTCCATTGCAGTCTTCTCTTCCTTCTGCTTCTTCTTGTGTTCAAGCATAGATGTATCCGAC